TGTGTTTTTTGCTTGTCGATGCATAAAATCTTTAATACGGTAAATTCATTGATTTTAATAATATTTATTTTGAGCATTTGATTTGGTTCTACTTATTTCAGGCATGACTATGTGGACTCCTTGTGTCCTGGTGCGAGCTCAAGTCGCAATAAGCCCAAAGGTCCATCTAAAAGGTAAACACATTTGCACGCTCCTGCTGTTTGATATATGTGACTGAACATTTAACTAGTCAGGCAAGTAATCTGGGAGACTTCAAATATTTACTGATGTCTTAATCCTACTGATGGACATTTCAGGTTTTTACTTTCATTGTCTTTGGAGGAGCGGATTAAGAAATTGCTGACCGAGGTTTGTTTGTAAGATGAATACTTGTGATTTTTTTTTTCCTGATTGCCATAAGAAGATATCAGTGCATGTGCACGTCTATTCTATCGTCTAACTTTTATTCAGTATTAGCTGGCTGTATATTCCATGTCCATTTATGCATTCATCAACCATTTGTTATTATCATGTGATCATATTTTCAAATTGTGCTCTCTCAATTAATCAAGGGATTTTTTTTTGTCAAATATGCTTATTTATTTTTATAAGTTAGTATCATTTTTTTAGTATCTGGGTTTTTGGTCAAGATACGCCCACCTCGGCTAATCTCATAAGACAATTGCTTGACCCTACTACATTTAGTTGTCAATGAAACTCATTGTATATTAAATCTTAAGTAGCCGGTCACCATAGTTTGAACTCATTTCTTCTATGTTTTTACATTTTTCATTGTTCCTATGACCACAATGTCAAACCATAGTGATTATTGTCATTGCTATATAAAAATAGATAATATAACTTTTATTAAGCAGCATCACCAGAAGCATATCACGAAAAAGGATTGTATTGAGCATATAAAAAAAGGTTGTCCAAAGTATGATGAACTAGACCAATCAATTTCAATTGCTTTAAGTGAACAGAGAGGACTGTCTAAAGCCTAAGGTTAAAATTAACCTCCACAGCTTTAAAGCATCACATCCGCTAAATAAAATCCATCCCACATTTTCTTTTTGTTTTTTATTTTTTTATATGAAGTTAAAAGATATTGCAAATCCTTTACAAATTTGCAATTGGGTGATATTTACCTCCTTGCCCTCTCGATCAAAGTATAGTTAGGAATTGAAAGGGGAAGTGGGGGGAGATGCTAATGACTTATAAGGAAGTGCATTATCTTTTTATCAGTCTTTATATCATGCTGATTCATTGTTGATGACTTATTCCGTGTTTGTTTTGTGAATAATCTTTTTCCTCCTTTCCTATAGGGACCTCCGATTCAAAGATTTAGTGCACTTAAGCATTATGCCCCTGATTATGAACCAGACGAGTTTATCGAAGCTCTTCAGCAGTATGCTCAGTCGGTGCAGGGTCTCTGGGTTGCAAAAAGTTCATTTTTACTTCCACAAGATGGCAGTGGACGTTGTGCTAGGGATTTTGTTCTTTCCTTGTTTAGCAAGAATCCAGTGGTCAGCTCTTCGCAGATAAATGTTCCAAAGTCTCTTCGGGACAAAGTGAAACATTTTTTGAATTGGTTTGGTGTTGAAAGACCTGCCTTTAAGGACTGGAGATTTAAGGAGAAAACAGATCGTTTATTTTTGAATAACTACGTGGATATTGTTCAGAAGCAAGAAAAGGTCTGGCGATCTGTGGAAGAAGGTATCACTAATTCTTTCCGGGGATCTGTGAAAAACATGTCCCATGCAAACGCTGCACCAGTAAAGCCTGAAATGGTTCCTAAACCTGAAAAACAAGTCATTCACGACAAAGCTTCAACTAAAAGCAGTAATGCAGCTCTTAACCGCAAAAGTACCATGTCGGATGAAACTCGAGAAGCTTTACCAAAAGCCCTTCAAAAGCTTTTTCAAACTCACAAGGTTTGCAGGTAGGGGCCGGTTTTCTTCTTGCTTGTGCTTATCATTATGAGAGTTTTCTTGGTTGGAAAGGACTGCCACTTTCTTGAATAGTATGGCGAGGAGTTTTGATGAGATTTAGGATATCATTGCCTTTTAACGTCTTTTTTTCATGCTCTTTCTATCATTTATTAACTTCAATAAATGATAGGTTTCTTTTAGATGGGAAAACATGTTATTCATCTGTTCGGTACGTGTTTATAAGCACTTGTATTGTTCCTTTGAGCTGTTTTTTGGGGAAGTCTTCATTTTGTAATAGCCTCAAGTTATCTATCATGTGACATCGTAATCTATTCTTCCCGTGGTGTCATGGAGAAGATGAATCTTCATGTAGCAAAGCTGATGCGGTTGCCTTATTATTGTAGCTTTCAGTTGATATGTCAAGGTTTGCGTGATTTGGCCGTGTCCCAGTCTACTCTTCCAAAAGCTGATGCCAGAATGGCGGTGGCTGCTGCATATGGTGTTGATGCTCCTCCAGATGAATTAAAAAGAATCATCTGCCAAGTTGCTACTGAGATTCATGGTCTCTATGTCTTGACATCATCTCCAGAGCATCCAGAATACGATCCATTAAGGTTGCTGGTGAATTATATTCATGGTCAAAGTCTTTTATGTGAAAAACGCTGTTTGCATTATTTTTCCATGTAAGAACACGATAAATCGGCATCTTTGTTCTTAACTTCATGCTGCACTATGCAGGAAAGTTGTCATTCAACTTTTACGTGGACGTGGACCTAAAGCAGTGCTTAAAAAAGCTGATGTTTTGGAAGCTTCCAAGCGTGAACTTGGGAGAGCAATCAATAGCAATGAATATAGCAAGGTTAGCCACCATGTTATTCAATCTCTCACTCATTTGAATTTCTTCCCGCATGGAAAGGAAACTTCTTTAATAGATTTTGGTTCTTATGCAACTGAAATATTCTGGTTGAGGATCTTTATTGTTCAGTGATTTTTTTCTTTTGACGTGAAACATTATTGTTCAGCTTGAAATCTCTTGCATTTTCTAAAAGCGCCGTCAATCACTGTTGATTTTATGCACTTTCTAGTGACGATCTTTTATCCCGGGATTGGCTCGTACAATCATTATGAATTAAATAAATGTTTCGGCCTTCTTCAGTGTCAAGATACATGATTCTGGTCTTACCCTGTTGCCTTTTGTGCAGGTAATGAACGAAATTTGCGTGTCCCATGGTTCTGCTTGGGCCTTGAAGAGTGGCGATGGAAATTCGAGATGACTAGGTTCCTCTCGTGACATTCCGAGCACAATTAAAGAGGTTCAAGGCAAAGCCAGCAACCAGATCTCCTCACTCTGCTGTACAACTTTCTTTACTCTTACTATAAAGTATATCAAATTACCAAAAGCATAGAGAGAAAGAGAGAAGCTGCTGGTTTTCTTTGCTCTGATTGATAAAATATGCATTTTGCAGATAAATTGAATGCCATTTCCCGTGGCCCTCCATCATTTGATCCACATCCAAATTTTGACTCAATGTATTTTCTGCAACATTTAGATCTGATGAACGTGGTGCCTGTTTTCTCTGTGATTACTTTACTTAATAGTTTATAATCCTCAATTTATCAATGATGCAAAAGGCCATCTGAGCCAATAAGATTTCAAATTATAGTAACTTTTAGAAAGAGTAACAGTGTGAAACTGTTCATTTTGCTGTTTGATGCCAAATTACTCTACTTTCTTTATCATCAGGTACCAAATTCCAGCGCTGGGAACCTTCTTTGGCAGACTGAACACTCCTTAATGTCGTTGTGCAACACAAAAATTTTGAAATGTACAGACAAAGGTAAATACTATCCCTCTTATAATAAGATTCAGCAGCAGCTTATGTAATGCAAACTCAAACCACTGCACAATATTAGGTGATCCTTTGAGTGTTGGCAATGAACTAAGAGCTTCCGGCGTTGTTCTCTGCTTTGGTGGTGTCTTTTATTAACTATAGTTTTGAGGACGCTTTTGTTTTTTTGTAAGTTAAAAGGTGAATTTAGTCTTTGAACATTGTTTATTTAGTGTTCAAATTTCAAAAAGCTTAGACTATGTTCTTAAATTTATCATGTACGCTTTATTAGATACTATGTCGATGATGATAACGGTGTTCCATCTGTTGTCACCAAATTCTTAGTACCTTGTTGAAGAACCAGGCTGATATTGACGCTAACTAACTAACGTTTACTTGAGTTTTCGGAATTGAATGGATTTAGTAAATATGAATTGTGTTCTATAGCTATTTTTGGATTATGCGATCCTAATAGAGCCCCGAGGTGGTGGGTTTGGCTAGGTAATATAAGCGAAATGTATCGTACTTCTTGGAATGATGGTTCGACCTCCTTAGTCTTGAGGGGTGGTCAAAAGGGGCTTTTCAATAAAGGAAATTCAAGAAAAACATTCTACAATTTCTCCCTCTAACGAAGAAATGTTCTCCGTGAACATTCCATCTTTCTAAGAGAGTTTAGTTTTGGAATTATAAAGTTCATTGAATACTACAAGGAAGACTCCACAAACAAAAGATGTTCTTAGCACCGATCCCCTCTAAAAATATATGTATATAAGCATCATCCTCAATTTTGAATGCAAATATTTTAAATTAATTACATTACCAAAAATAAAATATGGATAAATATTGTGATTGTTTTTTATTAAATTAAAAAATATATAACATAACAAATTATATTAAACAATTTTATAATCATAATTAATAGTTGAGACTCAAACTTAACATTTAGTTATATTCATACAACTTCATGGTAAATTTGTAAGGTATTTACTCATGGTAAATATATTTTTAAATTTTTTAAAAAATATTTAAAGGTGCTTTTGAAATAAAAAAAAATTAAAGGGTAAAAGATATTTTTTAATATATTTTTAAAGTTAAAAAATATTTTTGAAAATTTTTTCGTACCAAAATTTAAATATATATTTTAAGATTTTTTAAATTTTAATTTTTTTTAATTTAATGGCGTTTAAATAAAATACAAAATTTAAAGATGTTTTTATTAATTTAACTTAAAATTTAAAAGGCGAGAGATTATAAACGGAGTCTCAATTCTAAGGTAAAACCCTCCCAGACTCGCATGTCCAGATTCGGACTTAAAACCCTAGAAATGTCCTCCATCGCCACACGCCACATCCGTCGTCTATCGACGGCAGCCACCGCCACCGCCACCGCAACCGCTGCTGCCAAGGCCACAGCAACGACGTCCTCTTCAATATCCATTTCAAAAGCGAAATCTAAACTAAGAACAGAGTATGATCCAGATAAAGCTCTGAACATTTACTCTTCTGTTTCCAGTCACTACACTTCCCCTGTCTCCTCTCGCTATGCTCAGGAACTCACTATTCGGCGCCTTGCAAAGTCTCGTCGATTCGATGACATTGAATCCCTGATCGAATCCCATAAAAATGACCCAAAGATCACTCAGGAGCCCTTTTTGTCCACCTTGATTCGATCCTACGGTCAAGCTGGTATGTTCGAGCACGCTATGAGGACTTATAATCAGATGGAAGATTTCGGCACTCCTCGATCGGTGATTTCCTTCAATGCGCTATTGTGTGCATTTAACCATTCGAAGCAATTCGACAAAGTTCCTCAACTGTTCGATGAAATTCCGAAGAAATACAATTTCTCTCCCAATAAGATCTCGTACGGGATCCTGGTCAAATCCTATTGCGAATCCGGTTCTCCTGAGAAGGCCATGCAAATTGTAAGGGAAATGGAGGAAAACGATGTGGAGGTTACTGCGGTGACATTCACAACCATTTTAGATGCTCTGTACAAGAAGGGTGAGAGCGAAGAGGCAGAGAAAATCTGGAACAAGATGATATCAAAAGGGTGTGAACTCGATGTAGGGGCCTATAACGTAAGATTGATGCACGAGCACGGCGGCAAGCCAGAACACGTTGAAGCATTGATCGAGGAAATGGCTAATTCAGGTATGAAACCCGACACCATTAGCTATAATTACTTAATGACTTGTTATTGCAAGAATGGGATGATTGATGAAGCAAAGAAGGTGTATGATGATATGGAGATAAATGGGTGTAACAAGAACGCTGCAACTTTTAGGACATTTATGTATTACCTCTGTAGAAATGGAGATTATGAAAAAGGGTATATGGTTTTCAAGGAGAGTGTGAAGGTTCATAAGATTCCTGATGTTAACACAGTGAAGTATTTGGTGGAGGGGCTAATGGAGAAGAAGAAGATGAAAGAGGCCAAGGGTTTAATCAGGACCATAAGGAAGAAGTTCCCTCCTGATTCTTTGAAGACCTGGAGAAAAGTTGAGGAGGCTCTTGGTTTGGCTTCTTCTTCTAAGGCTGATGATGAAACTGAAGAATAAGTGTTTAAGTTGAGCTACGTTGTTGTTGTTCTTGTTGAGTGTAATGCTTTCTTCTCTGATTTTTTAGTCCCTAATTGAACAAGTTTTGTTCTGAAAGCTGCAGATTGCTATCAGTTGCTACTATGGCTTGCTATTAGAAGCCTAGATTATGAGCCATGGGGCTATATAGAGCTGTAAAAGCACCAATTTTTTTCAATAGATTGTTAGCCTTTGTTATAGTTTTCAAAAAGTTTTATGCAACATTCAAATGATAGGCATGACAACAAATTGGCTGCTATGTTCATTTGTTGACTAAGAAGATCAAGTAAACTTGGCTGGAGTGACATGAATTATGAGAAGGTTTAATATTTTGATGTGTTAGAAATGGATGGATGGATGGATGGATGTATTGAGAAAAGAAGTGACAAATCCATTGTGCCCTCTATCGTCTATCTTCTAATTAGGGTTGTTGGTAGGCCGTTCCTCTGAAAAATACAAAATTCGATAAATAGATGTATTTATATTCTATTAGTTTTTAAATTAATGATGCGCGAGATCCAATATTTGGTGGGAGAGGGAAATGAAACATTTCTTATAAGAGTGTTAAAATCGACAATATCGCTTAGTGGTGGATTTGGACTATTACATCATCATGTGAGACTATATTCCTCACATAGATTGAACTTATGGCCCAAAACCGACTCGACCACCCAATTTATAGCCCTGTTTTTTTGTTAGATGAACACGACTCACTATAATGGTATGATATTATCCACTTTGAGTTTAAGCTCTCATGGCTTGGCTTTGAGCTTCTTAAAAGGCCACATGCTAATAGAGTATTCCTTGATTATTATACTTATGATTATTCTCTAAATTAGTTGATGTAGGACTTTTATCATCCAACAATCACTTGTTCAATTTTATTCGTGGTCGCTTAAATCTTTCGAAAATATACGCAGATAGTTGAAAGAACAAAATGGCGACACGAGATGCCATATCTTTGCTTCAAACCTTCTTTTTCCCGGCAATTGATGGTCCAACGTCGTGGCCGGTGGGCGTAGCCTTGCTGCAACGCGGCAGCAGCCCACGTAGCGTGGCCAAAACTCCCAAACCCAAGAAAGGGAGATACAGTTTCAACAGCAGTCCAGATGCCCTCTGTGACCCTATCAATTCAGCTGCTATAGCAACCTGAAAAAAGAACCTAATATAAGCTTTATTCATTTACTTCCATCTTCAAATAACCTATCGGTCTGAGAGGAAAACAAAATATCTATTATAAGAGCGTGAAAATCTCTCTTAGTAAATACATTTTTAAAACCTGAGAGAAAATCCGAAAGGAAAAATCCAAAGAAGATAAAATCTATTAGTGGTGGGTTTGAGCCGTTGCAAATGGTATCAAAGCCAAACACCAGACGATGTGCCAGCGAGAAGGTTGAGCTCTGAAAGAGGTGGATACGAGATGGTGTACCAACAAGGACGCTGAAAAGGGAGTGGATTAGAGTTCCACATTGATTAGAGAAAGAAATAAGTGTCAGGGTGCACACCAGAATAGGACGTTGGGTCCCGAAGAGAACGAGTGTTAGTGAGGACGTTGACCTCAAAATGAGTGGATTGTGAGATCCCACGTCGAAAGCGTTTTAAAAACTTTTTTTTTTTTTTTAAATTAGGAAAAGTTCAAAAGAGAAAGTTGGAGAAGGACAGAAAATCAGAGTAAAGCATTGAACAACAATCACATGATGGTAGGAGAAAAGTAGAATACCATAGCAGAGAAAAGGGAGACGCCATAGATCAAACAGGTGGTGTGCAGCCATGACTTTGCAGCCCAGATGGCGTAGAGGTTGAAAACCGTGAGCGGCCATTGAAGGAGAAGCTCCAGCCAAAGCAGGCCGACGAAAAAGGGAGGCGCCTCGGCCATCAGATAGTCTCCCGACAGTCGAACGTACAGCTCCTTGAAATCAACAAGAACATCGGGGAAAAGGGCTCCGGGGAGCAATAACTGGGCGCCGATGAGCGGCGGCGCCATGGCATGTACAAATAAGAACACAAATAGAACTGAATCGAAGAGCTTCAGAAGAACCCCCATTGCTTCACCTTCCACAGATCTGGGAGAGACGTTGACTTCTCACTTCCCTATCCTATTTACTACTCATTTTCTTTCATCAAAATTTAATTTTTTTTTTTTTTATCAATCTTAGTTGACTTAAATTACCATAATAATTTCTAGAATTGTCTCTGTAATTTATAAATAATTAATACAGTAACCATAATATAAAGTAACAACTGTTTTTTTTTAGTAAACGTGACATATTAAATAATAATTTCTCCGTAATATATGAATTTATATTTAACATTAAATTACAAATTTAGTTATTTAGTTATTCAATTTGCAAATTCTGTGTGAACTTTAAATATATATAAATAGTATTGCCAACATTCATTTTATGTTAATAAGTCAACTTAAAAATATTTTTAAAATTTCATAGGTCTACTCATTTAAGATTTTATTAAATATAAAATTCAGTTTTATAGATAAAATTTTAAAAAATTTAGTAATTTATTAGACCAGAAAGTTAAAAGTTTATTAATTATTTTTTAAATTTAAATATTTATTAGATACAAAATTTAAAAACAAACGAAAGCTCTATCAAAAGTGCCGCAAGCTCCGACTACAATTCTAGTGCTTACCATGCTGCCATATCGGATTCAGGATGGTCGCTTTGTCCGACAACAGCATCAAACTCACCACTTCTAGCGACGACTCGCTTGGTAAAAAAATATTAGTACCATATATAATTTTTTTTTAGAAAGTAAAAAATATAAGAAAACCTTATATATATATATATATATTTTTAAACATTTATAAAATTAGCTGAAAAAATGGTTTTTTTTTTTTTTTGGTAATTAACTCGGTAGGTGTGTAAGACTAGTAGTGGAGGTATTTTTGTAATTAATTCCTTTTTCAGGGTCCAAAGCTTCTCTCCATTTCCCGCCTAAAACCCTGAACAAAGAAAAAACAAGACATTCTTTAAGAACCAGTATAACAGCACGCGGGGCTTTTCTCCGCAAACTTCACGACGATCCATTTTCCAGGGTCGCTTCCCTCTAAAAATCTCTTCATTTCTTGGTGAATCTCAACTGCAGAACTAAAGTTTCTTCGATTTGCTACCGTGCATTTGGTTCGTTCTGCTTCCGGATTTTCGTCTTTGTGTTTGTTGAGCGGTAGGAATTTCAGTACATAAGATTAATCAACTCGGCGCACGGTTTATAGCTTCTTAGGAAGATCACTTGGTTATTTGTGTTTTCAAGTGGTTTTGCTCTGATTTTTGGCTTAATCCGGTCTTTGTTCACTGTTTGATACTCATTTTAGGGCTGGAAATGGCTCTCGAGGAGAAACCAAGAGCTGATAATTCTGCAGAGTCACCGACCTCGGTTCTGGAAGACGAGGTTTTTTCATTTTCTTCACTCCAGCTTCTGACTCTTTTTTTTGTGCTCTTGATTCTTTTGATACGGCAAAAGACCTCGTCTGGACATTTTAGCAGGAAAAAAGGAGTCGATTTCGTGTTTTTACCTGCTTTCGAGAAGAACTTTTAAATTGTGCTTAATGAAAAGGATTATTCCGTCCTTGAAATTATTATTTATTAGTAAAAGGAGAACGAAGAACTTTCTGGAAATAATTATCTTAATGTGTAATGATTAATCTATCGTTTTTCTTTTAGAATGCTCCTAAACAGCCGCATGGAAAAAATGATTTTCCTTACTCCTTTTTACTTTCTTTTTATTCAATCATATTCTGTCGCAACGCTGAAATAGAAGATTTTTCATGTTTCCCTGAAAAGATTTTCCCTGGGTCTAACACTTATTAACTTGTCGGCACTTGAAAACAAATTTGTTTAGATATTCAGTAATGTTTACGGTGAAATTCATTGGAAAATGGTGGAGATACCTCCAACTTCTGACAATGTTGAATTAAATGGAAGGAAACATGTAGTCTATTTTAAGATTCCATATGGACCTCTAACACTTGCGTGTTTGTTTTCTTGTGCATTCTTTTGCCATCATGTTCAAATGAGCTATGTTTGCATGTCAGTAGGGAATATATCAAATAGTTTATTCGATTCCTACTGAACTGGTATCCGTTTTTTCTAATGCTGCGCCAAATTGTCTTGTGACTTTTTCCCCCTTTTGCATGAAGGATATATGTAATGGGGAAAATGAGATCAAGTTGGAGGAAAAGATAATTTTGGAAGCAAAAAATGGGGATTCCAGTCTCATATCAAAAGAAATGGCAGAGGAGGAACAGAAATTGCTGGAAGCTCGGGTTAAGGATGAGGAGGCCGTGAAACTTGAGGATTCAAAAGAATCTGCAAAGTTGAATGACAATCAGTTTACCAAATTGGACGAACTTCTCACTCAAACACAGTTGTACTCAGAATTTTTGCTGGAGAAAATGGATGACATCACATTTGTATGTCTATGTGCTTTATAATTTACAGATTTTTAAGTTATGCGCCTTTTCTGTCTCTCATTGAGATTGTTTTCAACTTTTTGCTAGAATGGAGTGGAGGAAGAGAATAAATCTATTGAGAAAAGTAATGTTCGTGGTTCAAAGAGGAAAGCTGCTCCACGTTATAATAATGTAAGAATTATGTGGTTCTCACGTCTTAACATCTTGGGGTACTGTTTTAAATCCTTTTTATATTTGAAATTTTAGCCTCAAGTAATGTGTTGTTAATTGAACTTCATCTTGAATATCCTTTATTACTGCAAACTATTGGTATATTTTAAATAAATTCTAACCTGGGACAAAAATGTTTCTAGAGGAAGGCAAAAAGAGCTGTTGCAGCTATGCTGACTAGATCAAAAGAAGGTGAGCGGGACGAAGATGAGAACTTGACCGAGGAAGAAAGAATCGAGAAGGAGCAGAGTGAACTTGTACCTCTGTTGACTGGTGGCAAATTGAAGTCCTACCAACTCAAAGGTGTCAAATGGTTAATCTCATTATGGCAGAATGGGCTGAATGGAATCCTTGCAGATCAAATGGGGCTTGGTAAGACAATTCAAACCATTGGCTTCCTTGCACATCTGAAAGGGAAGGGACTGGATGGACCTTACTTAGTAATTGCTCCGCTTTCCACACTTTCAAATTGGATAAATGAAATATCGAGGTAGTCTCTCGTGTTAACTTGGTCTTAACATTTTTTAATAATAAATTGTTTAGTCACCTTATTTTCTCCATTTGTTTTTATGTCTCCTTATATAGATTTGTGCCCACAGTGAGTGCTATTATTTATCATGGTAACAAAAAACAAAGGGAAGAGATTCGAAGAAAGTCCATGCCTAAAACAATTGGACCTAACTTCCCCATAGTGGTTACTTCTTATGAGATTGCAATGAGTGATGCTAAAAAAGTTTTGAGGCATTACAATTGGAAATATCTTGTCGTTGATGAGGTCAGCCATTTAGACTATGCTTCTACTGTCTCTTATAAAATATAGTTCATGAATTTTAGACACTCTTAGTCTTTAAAACATATTTTTCTTGTAGGGGCATAGGCTGAAAAACTCAAAATGCAAATTGCTGAAGGAATTGAAGTACATAACTGTTGAAAATAAACTGCTTCTTACTGGGACACCACTGCAGAATAATTTGGCAGAGCTTTGGTCGTTGTTGAACTTTATTTTACCAGATATTTTTTCGTCCAATGAAGAATTTGAGTCATGGTCAGTATGCCTTTTTATCTTTAGATGGGTGCTTATAATCTTAAGAATTGTTTTTTCCATTTGTGAACATGGTGGTGAATTTATAGCCTCTGGAAGTACTGCAATTTGTTAAATAAAGAATACCACATATTTTGAGACTGTAGTTGCAGGGGGTCAATCAATTATTATTACCATATTCAAGACTGATTTGCTCCTAATAATTTGTTCAGGTTTGATCTCTCTGGAAAGAGTCATGCTGAAGAACAAGAAGAAACACAAGAGAATAGAAAGGCCCAGGTTGGTAATTCTTTGATGTTATTTTTTTCCAACCCTGTATGTTGTTATTTGTTGCACAAGTTTGTCATATATAGATATTTGAAACCTGCAGGTGGTAGCAAAACTGCATGCAATACTGAGACCATTTCTACTTCGGAGAATGAAATCCGATGTTGAGCTAATGCTCCCTCGGAAGAAAGAAATTATATTGTATGCAACCATGACCGAGTGTCAGAAGAACTTTCAGGAACATTTAATTAACAAGACGTTGGAAAGTCATCTCTCCGAGAAGGGATCAGGTGGTTTAACATTGAGCTTTAGTATATAGATGCCATTTGCTTGTCGTTTTAACTACCAAGGATGTTGCAGTATATTTTCTTTGTTTTTCTGCTCTTATCATTTGGTATATGGCTGAGGGATGATGGTTTCTCTTGGTTGCCAGTTGGCATTTATAAGTTGCTGAGTAACCAGGGGATTTACGGATAGCGAGTTTCCAACTCCTTTAAGTTTTGCACTTTACTCGTTTAAATTTTATTTGTTAAATAAAACACTAAAATGTCACGACTAATACGCAAAATGAATGAATCTATTTTAAATTCATTAAAGAATCCAATCTAACTAATAATATATTTCAGAAGTTTTTAAAGTTTACTGTAGATATGAAAAATCATTTATCCTACAGTATTTTAGGATTTCTCTTTAATATTATTATTTTAGAGTATATTTCTTTTGCATATCTATATTGGTTTGGCTCAGCTTAGGCATAAAGAAAGAGAAAAATCAAACCAAACTGCCTTAGTGCGGTTGAATGGTCAGTTTGGTTTGGTTTCGTATACTTCTAGTTGACATAAATGAGTGTTTAAATCTTCAAATGCCGTGGGCTTAGGTTTCAGGTGCATGCTTGTTCTGGTTGTATTTCATTTAGGCTTTTGTAATATGTGCATTAAATGTCGCTTGGTTAAAACTGTTGTATGTGCAATTGGATCATCTTGTGCATGATTTGTTTAGGCTGCTTATTTGATGGTAGGCTTCATTATATTCGTTATATTCCATTCCATTTTATGTTCTGCTAATTGTGGTAATTTTGTGAAACTGTAGGCCATGTTTTGAAAGGAAAGCTTAATAATTTGATGGTCCAGCTTCGGAAAAATTGCAACCATCCTGACCTCCTGGAATCAGTTTTTGATGAATCATGTATCTTTCTCTCATTCTTCAATCTGTCATGGTAAAAATGTATTATACAATTTCACTTAATCCCTTGTCTTTTCCTGACAGATACATATCCTCCTGTAGAGCAGATAGTAGAGCAGTGTGGAAAATTTCGCTTACTGGATAGATTGTTGACACGACTGTTAGCACGCAAGCATAAAGTAAATTGATTTGTAATCTTGTTCAGTTCTCAGTTTTGCCTAGCTAACTCCATTGCCTACGTTGCATTTCTTTTAGGTCCTTATCTTCTCTCAATGGACTAAGATTTTGGATATCATGGACTACTATTTTAGTGAGAAGGGATTTGAAGTTTGCAGAATAGATGGTAATGTGAAACTAGATGAAAGGAAAAGACAGGTATGAGCTTTTGAATGAACTATCTGAATACTTTAAAGCCTGTTGTGTTGTGTGCTGTTGCTCTTGTTTTCCCCTTCTTTCTTGCTTTCTTCACATTGTATGTGCCAAAATGTTGCAGTATGGTGTTAATATCAGAAATTGTTGCACCAAAGAACTATGTTCAATCTATCTGTTATGTGTAAAGCTACGTTATTAATGGAAAATATACGTGCATGATGCATATACATATTCCTTTGACAAATATCATTATAGAATCTGGTATATCGAAGAAGATGAAACTACGAGGAGAGTTGTGATAGAATTTGAGCAAGAGAGAATTCATGGATAATCACAAACGCTTTTGTAACTTCTATTGGAACTGGCATTGGATTCTGGTGATCTGAGGTTGCTGTCAATGTAATCATAAGCTACTCATGAAGACTAAAGTTGACAAGCATCATCATATTGTGGAACTTCATTCCGGTGACTTATAAGGTGCAACCATATGGGCCTCTTAACTGCCATATGCAGCTGGAAACTTGCTCTTGGCTATTAATTCCTAATGTTCTGATGCACACATTTGGAAAGTGTGAGATTCCATGTCGGTTGGGAGGAGAAGGAAGCATTTTTTATAAGGGTGTGGAAACTTCTCCCTGACAAATGCGTTTTAAAAACCTTGAGAGGAAGCCCGAAAGGAAAAACTCAAAGAGGACAATATCGGCTAGCGATGGGCTTGGGCTATTACAAATGGTGTCAGAGCCAGACATCGAGCGATGTGCCAGCAAGGAGGCTGAGCTCTGAAGGGGGGTGGAAGCGAGGCAGTGTGGCAGTAAGGACGCTAGGCCTTGAAGAGGGTGGGTGGATTGGGGGTCCCACATCATTTGGAGAAGGAAACGAGTGTTAGCAAGGATGCTGGGCCCCAAAAGGGAGTGAATTGTGAGATCCCACATCGGTTGGGGAGGAGAACAAAGCATCTTTACGAGGGTGTGAAACCCCTCCCTAGGAGACACATTTTAAAAACTTTGAGGGCAAGTCTAAAAAGAAAACCTCAAAAAGGACAATATCTATTAGTTGCTTGGACTATTACATAAAGGTTGTCTCAATCTTTTTGTGAAGTATTAGTCTGTTAGGAGGAGGGGTAGGGGAGTATAATGACAACCATATTTGGTGTGGGGAGTTAGTCATCTGTGTACCATATAGAGACTAGAGTTCTAATTCTATGGGGTAGGGTAAAGCAGAAAAAATAGCCAATAATTTATAGAGGATTTATGCAGAAGAAAACTAAAGGAAAAATACTTTGAAGGAAAAACCAAATTGTGAACCTCACTACGGGGTAGAAATGTATGCCTTAGTGACGCCACCTCACCTGATCCTGGTAAGATTCCTTAGGTGCTGATGAGTGTTTCCTAGTCTAGGTGCATGCCAAGGCCTTCCACTTGGCTCATATTTGTCCTAGAAATGTCCAAAATTCTCAGTATTGCCTTCGTGCTTTGTGCTTTGTGCTTTGTGCTACTACTTTAGTAGGTTTTGTTGGGATCTTGAGAAACGTTTAGTTGAGACTGAAATAATTACTTGCATGTTATATGTAATAATAAATTGAATTTCCCTTTACATGCCACAGCTGGACTAGAAATGTTGTAAATATTTCCTTTATGAAAGTGTTGTAATTGACAAATTTAATTTTTCTACATGTAGATCCAGGAGTTCAATGATGTTAACAGCAACTACAGGATATTCATTCTAAGCACCCGAGCTGGTGGTCTGGGTATCAACCTTACTGCAGCAGATACCTGTATACTCTATGACAGCGATTGGGTATTTTTCTCGACACTCCATTTATTGTTCAGTTTCTGTATTAATATTGACTCACCATATTGCGTATATACACCAGAACCCACAAATGGATTTGCAGGCCATGGATAGATGTCACAGGATTGGTCAAACGAAACCCGTACACGTTTACAGACTTGCAACAGCTCAGTCTGTAGAGGTAACTTGCTGGTGGTCTTAATCTTTTGGTGTGTTCATATTCATGATGCTATTCATCAGTACTCTGAGGACTTGTCTTAACAGGGCCGCATCCTGAATAGGGCATTTAGTAAGTTGAAGCTTGAGCATGTGGTCATCGAGAAGGGGCAATTTCATCAGGAACGAACTAAACCCAATTCTGGAGCTATTATTGAGGTTAGTTGACCGTGTTTCAATCCATTTCTACTTTCTTTTCACTCTCTACTGTGAAGAAAATGGATCTTTTGCATTGGAGATTTGCCGTGTGACCAACATTTCTTGTGGCTGCAATGAAAATTCCCATTGTTTCTTGTCCCGTTTTGTGTAAAATTTTTCAGGAAGAGGATCTGCTGGCTCTACTAAGGAAGGAAGATTCTGCTGAAGATAAGATGATACAAACAGACATTAGCGATGCTGATTTGGAGCGTATTTTAGACCGCTCCGACCTGCTTCCCCCGTCTGGTTCAGACGACGAGAAATCAAAAGTTTCTGGTGATTTATACCCCCTCAAAGGGCCTGGTTGGGAGGTGGTGATACCAACTTCAACAGGAGGGGTACTCTCTACACTAAACGCTTAACTGTTAACAGTAGTTTTGAAGTTGCGGTTTGGGACATGGGGAAATGTATGTAGTTGGGGGATTCTGTTGCATGCAATTTTTGGTCTTTTTGAGTTTCTGAGCATGCAAAATTATGATTAGGGCAGCATGTTTTGTTTGAGGTTGGGAGATACACTTTGTGAAAAGCTGTCTTCCGAGAAGAGTTTCTAGGGCGTTTGGCCATAGAAACTTGCTTGATCTTTTTGGGACGAATTAAGAATATGAATTCCCTTTCTATCATTGCATACATTAGTGGCTGGACGAATTAAAAATACGAACCTAAACTTGCATGATCTTCGATTGCTAAGCTTTCATAGTTTTACTTTTAGTTTCTTGAAAATGCCTAAGATGTATTCGTTATAGACTTAAGATGTATTCCTTATAGACTTAAGTACACCATAGAGTCTCCCTTGAGGCCTATGTAGCTCTTGAACATCCTCCTCTAAATCGAGACTCAACTCCCTCTCTAAAGTCCTTGAACAAAGTAGACCATTTGTTCGAAACTAGAGTCGTTGTCAACTACACCTTTGAGGCTAGTTCGACACTTGATTATTCTATTGACATAGTTAAGGTTATGACTCTGATACTTTAGAAACCGTAGACCTCCACGATGGTCTGATATTGTTCACTTTGAGCATAAGCTCTTGTGGTTTGCTCTTGGTTTTCTAACCGGCCTCATATCAATGGAGTTGTATTTCTCAACATTTATGTCTTGACATTTTTTTATTTATAGTATTTCTAATTATGAATGTTTAAATTAGCCATCGATAAATGTACACCAACCAACACAGTGAGTTATTAATTTTTATTTTTTAAGTAGGCACTCATTTCTCAATTTTTTTTTTTTTTTTTTTTTTTTTGTCAACCGTCATGTCTTCTAAGTTTATTACATTCGCTACGGAAATTAAGCAAATTAAATAAATAATTCACCGGTCTTCATTTAATGAAGTCACGAAGTCTTCCATATTCTAAGATATAGCGACTACTCCTTCGTACTTGAAGCAGATATGATGGGATAGAATAACACACTCTTTTTTTTGTTTTTTTTTTCTTTTAAAGAAATATGATAAAGATATTTCTTCCATTTTAAAAGGAAGATAACGCCTAACTCAAATAGGTTCAGAAACAAATAAAAAACAAAAACCAAAATATTTATAAATATTTTGTTTTTTGGCCAATACATAAATTATATTTAAAATACTTTAATTTTATTAATTAATTTTTAAATCCACGTCAGCCGGTGGACGAAAGGCCCACGTGACCGACATGTAAGGAGAGGCTTACGTAAATTAATTTGGACCATTAACTGTTTGACTCACCTGCCGTTCACCTTTTTCTTCGTGACGGCCACTTAGACCATGCCACGTAGTTTCACTCGCCCCGCGACGCGTTAATATCGAATCTACCACTTATAATGCCATGCTTTAGCGTTAAAACAACTGGTGGGTTTATCACTACAATAACTTTATTTAAATTTATCTCAAAATTTCTACGATTTATAAATAATAATTATTATTATTATTTGAAAATTTAAAATAATCCTTTTAATTTTAATTAATATCCTTACGAATTTAAGGGTATTATTGAATTTTTCAAAAATTTGAGATATTTTTTAAGATAACATGTAAAACTGAGAGATATTTTTATTAATTTTATTTATTTAATATCTATAAATAATCAACCATTATCCAAATTAATATTTGAATTACTAAATTAAATTGGTTATTAATTTCGGGCTTACACGGAGGCATTATTAGTGATAAGCAGCGCAGTTTGTTCTCTCACATTCGCCAATAACCTGAGACTCGTTCCCTGGAAAAACAAACCCCATTCCAAACCCCCACTTTCCGGCCTCCAGCGAGCTTCAAGAGCGGGGGAACCGCCGTCTTTTCTTCCATTTCTTTCACTCAGGCGATTGCAAGGATTGGACGGAGGTGCTGAGGCAAGATGTGGCGCTGTGTTTCTCGTGGCCTTCGCGCTTCTTCTTCTTCCTTTTCCAGGAAATCGTCGCCTAATGATCACCTCAGATCTCACTTTTCTCGATTCTTCTCCGATTCGGTATGACCTTCCTTCATATGTCTTGGTTATTGAATATGAGCTTCGACTTTTGTCTGGATCTTTGATTTTAGTATGTTTTCCTGTTTCTCGCGGTTATCATCTTCTTTTTCCTTTTATCGAGGATGGCGTGTGGAATGGATAAACAGACTATGATTTATTATTCTCTCGTTGTTTCTTTTTTTCTTTTTTTTTTTTAATGCCACCTTCCTGGATTGTTAGTGATCTGTGTATTTTAATCTTGTGTTGACTTGGCTAATTGCTTGCATGAGAGAATGAAATGTAATTCTGTTTTGCATTGGTCCCATTGATTGTGCTGATCGTAGCTAGCTCTCTCAAATTTCTTTCCTAGGGCTCCAGTATTTGTGTAAAACTTCTCATAAAGATGGTGACTGCTAATAGGTTTTTATTAAATATTTAATTATTTCTTCTCTGGCTGATGGCAGACGGCAGGTCGCTCGTCATACACTGTGGTTGATCACACATACGATGCGGTTGTGGTAGGAGCCGGTGGTGCAGGGCTTCGAGCTGCTATAGGATTGTCAGAACATGGATTTAATACTGCCTGCATTACTAAGCTTTTCCCAACTCGATCTCACACTGTTGCAGCTCAGGTACGGGGTATTCGGACTTATGGTAATGCTGTCTGTTATGTCTCACAAATTGGTAACTTACCATATGGCGTCAGTTCACTTTTTTGTCTCCGAATTTAGGTTAAAGTGTCTTATATCTGAGACTCGAATTCTGATAGAAAAGTTCTGTAGTCAAAGGCTCATTCTCTAAACTAACCCAATTTCTGTCATTTTATGAGAAACTAATTTCAACGAAGTTGAAAAACTTACTTGTAAGTCTCTTTGGGGTTCTAAATGCAATAATAGTGTTTTTTATGGATGCAAAAGGCTCAGTGGAAGGCACTCTCATCCTTCGCAACAATTCCTTCACGTTTAATGAAGTGATTGAAAATTCTTTCTATTTTCTCTTCAACCAGTCTTTGGCGGATGATTTTTTTCTTTCTTTATTTTTTTCTGGCTATCAAACGTTTATGGCGGATCTAAGGCCTCTTGTAAACCTTTCTTCCAATAAAATCAAGGAGAGATCCAAGAGTTCTTTTTTTCAACCCAAATTCTGTCCATTTAGCAGGAAGGGACCACTTTCTTTACTTTTAAGTCACCTAACGAGTAATAACAAAAAAGCCTAGACACTACTAGAGAGAAACAAAGAATCTAGCAATGCGATGCTAGATTGTCCAGCATATTTAGAACTGGTTGGAGGTATTGCTTAATGAATTAGATTTATTGAAGCAATACCTAACATATTGCTTAATGAATGAGGTATTGCTTAATGGATTGTTCTGTTGGTTTATTGAATTAGATTTTGTTTGACTTGAACATATTGCTTAATGAATTGTTCTATTGGTTTATAGGGAGGTATTAATGCTGCACTGGGAAACATGACTGAGGATGATTGGAGGTGGCACATGTACGACACTGTCAAGGGGAGCGATTGGCTAGGTACATATTTAGAACTTTGGATAATTCAAAAATATTGTCATGCAATGCGATGCTGACATTGTGCTTAGAAACAAGCACACAAACACACATCAAAATGCTCGTGGCTTCTTACTTGCCAATACTAAGCTAGTAGCAAAATTTGTTTATATGGTGCACTTTTATGTGCTTACCTTGCGTATATTTGCTGATCCTTAATGATTTAGAACTTGTAGGTGTGCAAAAACAAATCTATTCTATATAAACATTATAGACTTACAATATTTGTACATTCAAATCCTTGACCTGTATGGTTTTCATTTTCTAGGTGATCAGGATGCCATTCAATACATGTGTAGAGAAGCACCAAAAGCAGTTATTGAGCTTGAGAATTATGGACTTCCATTTTCTCGTACTGAAGAGGGAAAAATATATCAACGTGCATTTGGTGGTCAGAGCCTCGACTTTGGAAAGGGTAACAATTCATATTATATGTTCTCATTTCCATGTTGGTCTCCCCTTTAACATTGAGATTCTCATGTCTTCAATTTTTTACTTTTACATTGTCGTCTTTGTAGGTGGACAGGCATATCGTTGTGCATGTGCTGCAGACCGAACGGGGCATGCTTTATTGCATACTCTCTATGGCCAGGCTATGAAGCATAACACACAATTTTTTGTGGAATATTTTGCTTTGGATCTTTTAATGAATAGTGATGGTATATAACCTCCACTTTCCTTGAATTTTACGTAATATTATAGATCTTTCCACCCATGTTTGATGGTCACCCTTACCACTGATATTGGCATATCAGGTAGCTGCCAGGGAGTGATAGCATTAAATACAGAGGATGGTACACTACATCGGTTCCAAGCTGCATCAACAATTTTAGCTACTGGGGTACTGTATGCCATGATGATTGTTATCACAATGTATGAACTGATAAATTATGTAAATATAACTCTCTGCTTTTTCAGGGTTATGGCAGAGCATATTTCTCTGCCACCTCTGCTCATACCTGTACTGGAGATGGAAATGCCATGGTTGCACGTGCTGGGCTTCCACTTGAGGTTCATATTTTTTCCTTTTCTAGTATGGTGGTGGAAGGTTTTGGATAATTTCTCATTCTCTTTTTGGACCTTTTCTTTCCCTTTCTTGCACAGGATTTGGAGTTTGTGCAGTTTCATCCAACAGGAATATATGGTGCTGGATGCCTTATTACTGAAGGTCTGAACCGGAAGTTTGAATAATAATTTTCCTGTCGGGTTTTTCCCCTCACTCTACATGGACATAATACTAATTTAAATGAAATTCTTTTGTTCTGTAAAAAATTAGGATCTCGTGGTGAAGGAGGCATTCTTAGGAACAGTGAAGGTGAGCGCTTTATGGAACGATATGCCCCAACAGCAAAGGATCTTGCATCAAGGGACGTTGTCTCAAGATCCATGACGATGGAAATTCGGGAGGGTCGTGGTGTAGGTATGAAGCTTTTATCCCCTTCTAGTATTAAATAGATGCATCCATGTACTTTCTCCCAGCTAATAAGGCGTGGTTATGTTGATAAGGGCATCTGAACAAAATAACTGTTAGGGAGTATACTAATTTGTTCTTTTTCCCTATTTACTATCTTTCTTTGGTTACTGAATAGATAACTCTTAACAGGACCACTGAAGGACCACATCTATCTTCATTTAAATCACTTACCCCCTGAGGTACTGAAGGAGAGACTTCCGGGTATCTCAGAAACTGCTGCCATTTTTGCTGGCGTTGATGTTACCAAAGAGCCCATTCCAGTGTTACCTACAGTGCATTATAATATGGGTGGAATTCCAACTAATCATCATGGAGAGGTATGCATGAAAATGTAACTCTTATTTTATTCATTTTTTCTAACCGAGTATCCTCTCATAAAATGTTTGAGAGTAAAAAATTTGGGAGTTAAAAAAAAATAGCCAGGAAGATTCGCCCTCTAATGTTTCTGTAGAATTCAAAATGACCTCTTTTTTCTGCCTTCTCAAACTTCATTTGTAAATTTGTTGTTTATCAGGTAGTTACAATCAAGGGCAACGATCCAGATGCTGTAATTCCAGGATTGATGGCTGCTGGCGAGGCAGCTTGTGCCTCGGTTCATGGTGCCAATAGGCTTGGTGCAAATTCGCTTTTGGACATTGTTGTCTTTGGACGAGCTTGTGCAAATAGGGTAGCAGAGATCAGTAAACCAGGCAAGATGCTTATTTATTTATTTTTAACTGGGAAATGAATGATGAACCCACAACCCGATTCAACCAATAATAATAAATTGATAATGTTGAATGATTATATTTGGGCAATTTACAGGGGCCAAGCAAAAGCCGTTGGAAAATGATGCTGGTGAGAAGACAATTGCATGGCTAGACAAATTAAGGAACGCAAATGGTTCACTTCCCACCTCAAATATTCGGTTGAACATGCAACGAATTATGCAAAACAATGCTGCTGTCTTCCGAACTCAGGAGACCTTGGAAGAAGGTAGCCAAATCGAAAAGAGAGAATTTTAATTTTGAACTTCTATACAATCTACAACTCTGCCTTCATTTCGTTTCATTTTTTGTTTTCATTCTGCTTCTGTAGGTTGCAAATTAATTGACAAGACATGGGAGAGTTTCCATGATGTGAAGGTCAAGGACAGGAGTTTAATATGGTAATAATAGGATCATGGTGTTTTCTGTCTTTATTTGTTTTAAATATGATTACAATTATCAAGTGTAAGTACTGAATCCTTGAAGGGTTGATTTAAGGTCTTTATTCGTTGAACAGGAACACTGATTTGATCGAGACAATTGAATTGGAAAATCTTTTGATCAATGCCTCTATTACCATGCACTCTGCTGAAGCCAGGAAAGAGAGCAGAGGAGCACATGCTCGTGAAGATTTCACAGTTAGTTTTATTTACTTCTATTAGTAGTGACTCAATACTTCCCTATGACTTCAATATAGTAATTTTGTATACTCTGGTTATGCAGACAAGAGATGATGAGAACTGGATGAAGCACACATTGGGGTAACTCTCGTGTCTGACACTTAGAAACAAGAAAAAACTGCCCCGTTTTTATTATTCTTAGTCAGTCACCTTTTCACATCTTTGGGACTCCTGATCCATCATTGACCCATGGCTCAACTAGATTAACAGAAATAAATCTCTATTACTAGTTCGCCCATGATTTCAATCGATTAACTTCTGCTGTATGTTTATTAATATGATTGAATTTGCAGATTCTGGGAGAATGAGAAGGTCAGGCTGGACTATAGGCCAGTGCACATGAACACATTGGACGATGAGATGGAAACAATCCCTCCCAAGGCCCGTGTATACTGATGACTTATTCAACCATAATAGATGGAAGAAGACTGCAATAAATCACTATAGGTAAGCCATGTGGATGGTAATTATTTAAAGTTGTGTACTATCTGCAACTTAAGCAGGTCGGTCGTTTTTATGCTTGCAAGTAAATTATTTCATTGAGCGTAAGCATAAATTCGATCTGCAGGCCGAGATGCCTTGTCTTTTTATATTGTCTTTTCTTTGCCATGGCCTACCAGTTGATATGACTGTTTTGAAAGGAGATGGACGTTTATGAGGTACAAACATGTATCCAATTCAAGTAGGAGATTTCAAATTTTTTTTTACTCAATAAAGTGTTTTGAGGTGAACTTTTCTGAGTTTTTCCTAGTCGAATTGGTTCCTTATTCTTGAACTTTTTCATTAATGGTGACTGCATAGTTGCAAGCATACCAATAAGATCTTAGTTTGTTTTGAAGTATCAATCGATCCTAGTTCCTTCCAAATCATCATTCCTAGTCATAATTGCCTCAACCAAAATGTCAAACGCTAATAGTTTTCAGTACCACTGTTTCTGCCAAGTTGTTGGGGTGTCTTGTTTATCGTGTTTTTTCTTCTACAACAATGATGAGGAAACTTTCATTTGATTGAATTGATGAATTTAGAAGGAAAAGAAAAGGTTGTAGTGTGGTTTATTTGATCTTATGTAGGGACAGTTTCTCCCACTTTGGCTTATAGTGTAGTACTGTATTCCAACAAAAGTACTTGTTGCTTTTCCTGTAGCATTTCCATTGAAGATTTGACCTGAAATACCAACCCTTCCACCATTAGTGCTTCTAATTTAATAAGAACCCTTCATTCATGAGTTGGAGATTTGTATGTTTAACCACACCTCCAGTATAAGCATTCTCAAATTTGTGTGTTGTTTGGATTTGGTGTGATATTCATGTCCCCCTACCAAAAGTGAATCGTTCTTGTTACTCTCTTGTTTGCATATATAATGTCTCCTTCAAAATCTCCCTGTCCTCGTTTTCTAAAACGATCTTAAATCAAGACTAGAGGCTCGAGCATACATCGCTTGGCCGTAGGCAATGTAAGAACGAATTGGCTTAGCTCACTTGTCGTTGGAAAGTGAGTGCCGCACAATTGCAAGTCCGCTGCCATTAAGAGTGCGATTGTGAGCCAATTTGCCATAATATCTGTAGTTGTGTAGATGATCTTTGTTGAATATCTATTAACGAATATCTATAAATGGCATTTTAAAAGTAATTTTGATGGTATGAAACCCTATTTCAATGTGTACGATCAATCATTCATAATGATTGAAAGCAGCATGTTTAAAAGTGATTTTAATTATTAAAAAAAATACTCTTACACTTCTTAGAACCATAGTTTTAAGTTTGGTATGCTTGGTCCATGGGGGAACTTTTCGGGGAACTTTGGAAATCAAAATCTTGAAAGTAAAGAAAACCAACTTGTATACTACTTACTAAGACTCAATTTTTTTCTTTTTTTTTTTTGGCAAAAAATAAATGAACCCGACCTATGAAGTTTGATATTCGTTCAATCTCTGCCCTAAAAACATGAAAGGAAAGGGAAAAGAAAAAAAAAAGGTAAAGTGAAAAGAAAAACAAAGAAAAATGAAGAAAAAGTAAGGTGCAAAAAGTGGGGTCGTCTTCGTAGATTATTAAATAACAAAGGAGTTGATTGCTTTGATTTTTTGTCTGATCAAACCGCTCTTCTTTTCTTTAACCATTCTTTCTAATATTATTTTGATTTGTTTATTAAGGCTCTAATTGGAATCCAATCTCTCTAAAACTCAATCATTTAGCAAACAGTTATCATAACCAATTGGGCCTTTTTTCTTTATTGATAAACCTTTGATTTTTGTAATTGCTTCATCAACCTTACAAAAACTTAACTCCCTTAATCGTTGTATAATCTAATAAATCCCTTAAACTAACTCCCTTAATCGTTGTATATATCCTTAACTAAAAGATCAATGGTTCGAGTATCTAATAAATAGTTCGGAGTATTGCAAGTTGACTCGGGTGAGTGGGAGCGTCACTCGAAATTGAAATGAAATTTATAACAAAAAAAAAAAAAAAAAAACATGATTTTGTAAGTGTTTTATTTTCCAACGTGGATTTAGGGTTCACTTTGTTTTTGAACCCATCAAAGTGCGACTATGGGGGAGTGTCCTCCGCCGTTGCTTTTTCGAGATGTCCCATTTCTGCTTGTCGAGAATCACTCCTGCGGGCCCCCACTCAAATTGGCCCTTTCCCATCCTTCCGGGCCCATCATCGGGCCCAGTCGGCCCATTGACCGCCCATAAAGGACCCCCCTTCGCCCTTTCCTCTTCTTCTCCCCCAACCAAAACTTTTTCTTTCCAACTTTACAACTATTTCTTCCCCTATTTTTTTACTTAAAATTTCAAACTTTTTTCACAACTAAGGATAGAGATCCGAACTCACGACCCATTAAAGGGAAGAAGAAAAAAAAAGTCACTAACGACTGTCGATCGAACTATATTCAAGTTTATCGATCACCTTTCTTTAATACGTCTAGCCTAAATAAAAAATATTGTAAGAACATTATGAGAAATCGAGAGAATACCAACCTCAATAAAAAGTTGGTAGCATTATGTGTCGTAAACTTAGCTAGGTACATCATATTTTTACCGTAAATTTTCAGTTTCATTCATTCACTATAAATGTTACCGAATATTTCTCATCCATTCTCGTTGAAGTTTTGAAATGTGTATGCAGTAAAAATTACAAATCAATGTCGGGTAAGATTTAATTACAAAGTTGAAATAGAATTCCTTTTTGAAAAAGAAAATACAAAATAGTTTTAAACCAATGAAACCATATCCGTAGTGAGGTTGGCGGCCATTCATCTCTTCAACTCTCACAGCCAAGGATTAGAAATGGGTGGTGAGGCTTGGAGTGACACAAAAAAAATGTGGAGAAGAAACAACTGCCTTATGACTTAAAATAAGAATAAGTAAAACAAAATAATAATTATTGTACGGTAAAAAATAATTATATTTATTTTTAAATTAGTTATAATTAATTCGGTTTAGAGAATCTATTAACTAACTTAGTTACTACAAGTTTAGTTTCATCAAGGACAGTTAAATAAGTTGATAACAAACTTATCTGAATTATTGGATTATACGAACAAAAGAATATTATAGAAAATAAAAAAGAAGAAGAAAATAATCGTAAATGTTTGAATTTTTAAAAAAAGATAATAATCAAAAGAAAGTGAAAAAAAGCGGAAGGTGGACGTTCATGAGTTAGTGTTGTCATATCGACCAATGAGGGCCCGCCATCATATCACTGCCACGTAATCAGCCGCACACACAGCTTGCCCTGACAGGGACTCTACTCCATTTTTCTTTTTTCTTTTTTTTTTCACTTTTTTTTTTATTTCTTAATGCTAAATATTTATTATATTTCCGTTCTATTAGCACATCTTCATTTATTTATTTATATATTTTAATTAAATATAAATAAAAACCAATTTTCAAAATAAATAAATGAAAAAAAAGGTAGTAAGCTTATAATTTTCAAAATAAAAACCAATTTAAAAGGGGTAGAAGTTTAGGGAATCAAATTAAAAAGAGGTAGAATCGGTCGGAGAGATCGTTAAAGATGAACTTAGCGAGAGTAATGTTCACTTTGGCCTTACCCTTTTCATCCCTAGGTGAGGTGAGCTTTTGAGCGTTTAGCCTCTCCTTTTGTTTAGTTGCAAGCCAATTTGTAACAAACAACGTGGTTTACCTAAAATGTTATTTAGAATTGAAAGGATAATTGCCCAAATAGTTGTTTTTTGGATTTTTGGATTTTTGGAAAAAAATAAAAAGCAAATTTGGGGACTCAAAAAGGACCCAAAATCTCTCTCCTCTTAAAAATTTGTTATGAACGGGGAAAGTCGGGTCCCCTCCTCTGCCACCTTCAACGGACTTCACTGACTTCAATCGGCCACACACACACACACCTTCTGCCCCTTCATTTATTTCTCCTCTCTCTCTCCTTCTCTGGTCCAGAGACTCTGCTTTGCTTTCTCCCACTTTCCACTTCTCTCTCATCGTCTTTCTTCTTCCGGTAATGTGATTCCCTCCTTTCTCTCTGGTTTTGGGAGGCAAGGGTTTTTTGTTTTTGTTTCTGTTTCAGATTAATGGCGTATATGTGCACAGACAGTGGCAATTTAATGGCAATTGCACACCAAGTGATCAAGCAAAAACAACAGCAGGACCAACAGCAACATCACCTTTCTCCTCTTCTTCCTTGGACTAGTTCCAATCCTTCCCCAACAATGGCTTCTTCTTCTTCTTCTTCTCCTGCTTTCACCTTTGGGATTTCAGGTTCCGCCTTCTCCGACCCGTTTCAGGTTGCCGGAGCCGCTGATTCTACCGACCAGCCTTTTCATTTCTCAAATTTGGAGCACCCTTCCACCGGGTTTAGATTCTTCCCTAATTTTGGCGGCGGTGGTGGTGGAGAGTTTGAATCTGATGAATGGATGGACAGTTTAGTCGGCGGTAGAGATTCCACGGATAGCTCTGATCTTCCGTCTGGTTGTGATGATTATGGTGAGTTTGGTCTATATGGTGCGGATCCCTTTAATGGCTCTCCGCCGTCTCTGTTCTACCGAGAACTTCTCCCGGAAGGTTCGTACAAGACGAATAGCGTTCTGCCCCCGTTGCCTTCATCTCCACCACCAGTTAAGGATGCTGAAGTAGCTAATTCAATGGCGGGGAGTCTGCAGAAGAATAACGTCGTCGAAAGCTCGTCTAGTGCGCCGGAAATCGACTCCTCTTCGCCGCCGCTTCTGAAAGTCTTGCTCGATTGTGCGCGGCTTTGCGATTCTGAACCTGACCGAGCAGTAAAAACTCTTAATCGGATCAGTAAATCGTTACGAGAACATGGAGATCCTGTTGAACGAGTTGCGTTTCACTTCGGTGAGGCTCTTCGGAGCAGATTATCTCCGACGGCAATGAAGAACTGCTTGGTTACAAATGATGGCGACGCTAATTCCGAAGATTTCTTGCTCTCTTACAAAGCTTTGAACGATGCCTGTCCTTACTCGAAGTTCGCACATCTCACGGCCAACCAAGCGATTCTGGAAGCTACACAGACAGCCAGTAAAATTCACATTGTCGACTTCGGAATCGCTCAGGGCGTTCAATGGGCTGCGCTTCTGCAGGCTTTAGCCACGCGAGCCACCGGAAAGCCTATCAAAGTTCGTATCTCCGGAATACCCGCACCATCTCTCGGAGATTCACCGGCGGCATCTCTATGCGCCACTGGCAACAGACTCTCCGAGTTTGCAAAGCTTCTGGAACTGAATTTTGAGTTCGAACCGATTCTAACGCCGATTGAGGACCTAAACGAATCGAGCTTCCGCGTTCAATCGGATGAGGTGTTGGCCGTCAATTTCATGCTTCAATTGTACAATCTCCTCGACGAGGTTCCGACTGTAGTTCATAATGCTCTCTTATTAGCGAAATCGCTGAGCCCTAAAATATTGACTCTCGGTGAGTACGAGGCGAGCTTGAACAGAGTCGAATTCTACAATCGCTTCAAGAACGCATTAAAATTCTACTCCGCCATTTTCGAATCGCTAGAGCCAAACTTGCCGCGAGACTCTCCAGAAAGACACCAGTTAGAGAAACAGTTACTCGGCCGTCGAATCGCTGGCGTAGTTGGATCTGAAGAAGAATCAGGAAGCAAGAGAAGAAGAGTACGCATGGAAGCCAAAGAACAATGGAAGAATTTGCTGGAAAGCTCCGGATTCAAACCTGTAGCACTCAGCCATTACGCCATTAGTCAAGCGAAAATACTTTTATGGAACTACAATTACAGTTCTCTTTACACACTGATCGAATCGACGCCAGAGTTTCTGTCTCTAGCATGGAACGACGTTCCTCTCTTAACTGTATCTTCTTGGCGTTGATCGATCGGCTTCTTTCCTTTCTTCTTCGTTGTTGGTGATAACCAGTTTCGATCTGCCAGGTCTTTTTCACTGGTATGGTATGGGACTGAAAACGAATGCAAAAACAAATATCAAATTGCAGTATGGAAGACGCCATTGCCAGAAATTTCAAAAGCTCTTGTGTTCAAAATCTGAAAAGGAAAACAGTGGCTCTTTAGTCTTTGATTCAAACCCTAATTTGTCGCAGGCAGAAGGATCATTCAGTGGGCGCCATTGCCGACCTTTGGAGATACCCATTTTCGGTTCTGAGATTTCGTTCTTATTTCTTTGTAACTCCCTCTCTAAGTTTCGGAGTTAATTAGGGCAATATTGTAATTATCAAAAAGAAAAAAAAAAAAAAAACAGTGTAATATGGCCNTGTAATTATCAAAAAAAAAAAAAAAAAAAAAAACAGTGTAATATGGCCGAATTGATAATTTCTTTTTCTTTTTTTTTACGTTTTTGTTTTAAAGATAACCACTTTTAATTTTAAAGTTATGTTTTATATTATTTTAATTATGTAATTTTTTTTTAATAAAAATACTTTCTCATATATTTTTAAATGTTTGAATAATATCTTAAATTTTAAAAATAAATTAAAAAAACTCTTAACCTTATACTTTACCTTAAAAATACATTTGAATTTTTTTTATAGTATTTTCAAAATACATTTTGAACTTTTCTTAATACCATCGTAGCACCGACACATATAGCATACAATAAAAAATTAATTTAATCGAACATATTACATTCCAACTGCAAGTTCACTATCAATTATTAAGAAGCATAAATATTAAGTATTACTTAGTTGTCTTTAGTTTAATGGCAACGTTATAATATTGTCGTCCTCAAGAAATTATTTCTTTTTTGGATGATTATATATTAATTTGTGTTTATTTACTCACTTTTAATTATTTTATTTAAAATTTTATCAAATAATTTTAAACTCCAGATAAATAAAATTTTATTGAAAATGATGGTTTATATATCAATTTAAATATAACTAGATCAGATATTAATTTTTGAGGTACTGTGTTTTATAAATCCAACTTGAAAATTGTCGGGTTGGGTTGTGAAATTTTTTTTAGTTGGATTGAGTTATTAATCCAACCAACCCGAAATTTAGATAAAAAATAAATTCATCGATCCAATTCAACACAGAGAGCAAACCTATTTTAAGAAATAAAATATTTTTTAAAAACCCTTTTTTTTTAGGTAATGAGTTGATGGACTTGGTTAAGAAAGCAAGTTAATTGGGCCAAATAAGGAGTGGGCTTAGCAAGCCGAAATCACACCAAGCCCACCAAGCCCACCTCTTATCCTAAGAAGCTATACTATTTTATATTGTTTCCGGAAGGGTATAATGTGAGCCAAGGGAGCCAAGTGAAGGAGGAACTAAAACTCGATTTTGAACCACTGAGTTCATGTGCCAAAATTTACTTACAAACGTATTGATTGTCGAGGTCGATTTTGTTGGAACTAAGGTAAGTAAATTTATCGAAATAAATATAAAGGCACTAATGTAAAATTAACGTGATATTACTATACAATGGGAACTTATCAACATCGTTTGTCTTGATTATAATACCAAGTTAAACTAACACAAATATGAACATAACTCATTTTACTTACAAACTTATATTGTACGTGAAGCGTTCGATCTCAAATAAGAATTATGACAAATTTTAAATGCAAATTTAAGTACCATCTAACCCAAAAAACAAAGTTTTGATATTTTACATTATTAAAATAATTTTAATTTGTTTTCAACGCAATATTTTAATATGGAAGATATATGACATATATATGTATATATCCATGAATTTGAGACTAGATATATGTGTTTTTTAATTAATTTACGAGACATGAAAATTTAGTAAATTTAATTATTCCATCATTTGAGCATCGATCCATTTAGTTGAATCTAATTTAGTTCGAAATCATTTAAAATGGGTCGAGCAATTGAACCTAATTTTGCTCGACATCACTTACCATAGATCCAACAAAACTTAATTGGTTAAAACTTCTTAAAATTTAAATTTGATTAATATTGAAAAGGTTGACTAAAAAATAAATTAATGTCAAATTTAGACAATATAAAAAAAAAGGTTAAACTACTATTTTGACATTTTAAAAACATAACATTAATGTCTATTAGTATTTTATTTATAAATATTGGAAGCATATTTATTTAAAAAAAGGGTTTTAAATTTTGACATTTTTTATTTAAAAAAAGGTTATAAAATTCGGCTTCAATTTTGGGGTGTGTTCAAATTTTAAAACATATTCCACGTCATTATTAATTCTAAAACATTTTTTTTCAATGAAATAAAATAAAATAAAATGCTAAACGCCCGCCACACAGGCTACCCCAACCTAGTCGGTGGTCAGATTTTGAATAATTCAAAATAAATACGCAAATATTTTTCAAAATTATTGAATTTTAAATATAAATTTCTTATTTAATTATATATAAAATATTATTTTTCAAATAGCGTGTTTATATTTGGTATCTCCTTTGCTTGACAACGAGGTCATTAGCTGTGCAATTTCTCATCCAATAGTTTATCGCCTTTATTCCACCGCCTTAGCGATTATCAATTCAACCACGTAACTTAACATTGGCCGTCAGATCGTTTTAGCCCCACCAAAATCCTAGCCGTCCATTTCATCCTCATCCTCTTTAAAAGGATAATGGCCTCCCTCATTTCTCCATCTGCCTCCATTGCAATTTCTACTTTTTCCTGTTTCTTTTATTTTTATTTTCGCAGATCTGGGCTAATCTTCTACTCTGTTGCTGTTCTGGAGGTCATAGATCGATAGATCTGGTGTAGATCTGCACATTGATTGTGGTTGCTTGGCGATTCGGTCTTCGGTTTCGGAGTTTTATTGTTTATTTTGATTCTGTCGAGTTCAACTTCAGATCTGAGTTATTATCTTCCATGTTCATGCTCTGAATGCGATTCTTGGATTGTTGTGTTGTCGTAGATCGACGGATCTGGGGTAGATCTACGAATTCATTGCGGTCTCTTGGCGACTCGGTCTTCGGTGACGGGTTTTGGTTGTTTATTTAGATTTTAGCAGGTTCGACATCCGATCTAATTTATCCTCATATCGGTTTATGTTCTGACGGGGTTCTTGGACTTCCGTATCGTTGTTTCTTTTGTTGTCGTGTGCTATTTGCATGTTTACAACGATGGAGGGATTGCCGTTCACGCACGCGCCAATAGAGGGTTTGGTTCTTGATTCCGTTAATTTTCTTTATTATTACTATGCAACGAAAGGCGTTTCGCTGTCATCGAACAGGTTTAGAGTCACATAAGGTACTGGATGTTGGTTGAGGCAATATACTAGGCGTCTCTGTTGGATTTGTGTCGGCTAGATCGGTTAATCTGGGTAGATCTACAACTTCATTTCGATCTCTTGACTATTCGGTCTTCGGTGACGGATTTTAGTTGTTTATTAAATTCGAGCAGGTTCGACATCCGTTCTAATTTATCCTCATATCGGTTTATTTACTGACGGGGAATCGTGGACTTCTATATTGTTGTTTCTTTTGTTGTTCTGTGCTATTTGCATGTTGACAACGATGGAGAGGTTACCGTTCCCGTACGCGCCAATACAGGGTTTGGTTCTTGATTCTGTTAATTTTCATTATTATTACTATGCAACGAAAGGTGTTACCTCTAATCAAACAGGTATAGAATCGGAGACGGTACTGGATGGTTTCTCTGTTGGATTTGTGTTGGGCGATGTCGTTAGATCTGGGTGACAGATTCTGGTTGTTTAGTATAATTCCAGAAGGTTCGACATCCGTTCTTAATCTATCCTCATATAGGTTTATGATCTGACGGGGATTCGTGGACTTCAATATTGTTGTTTCTTTTCTTGTTGTGTGCTATTTGCATATCTTCAACGATGAAGGAGTGGTCAACGTTCCCGTACGCGCCAATACAGGGTTTGGTTCTTGATTCCGTTAGTTTTCTTTATTATTACTATGCAACGAAAGGCGTTTCGATTTAATCAAACAGGTCTGGAGTCGTTGACGGTACTGGATGTTGGCATGAGGCAGTATCACTTGGCGTATCTCTTGGATTCGTTTCTGCTCTGCTGGTTATTACAGATCGAGATGAGTTTCGACATCCATTTCGTCAGTGTGATGTAGCTGAGCTGGCAACGAGTATTCGATGGAAGCTGTATCTTGTATGAAAATAATGAAAGCATCCGAGAAGTAGATGAGTGTTTGTGGATGTAAAAGATATCGGGATTAGACCTCTTTTTTCGAGGAGGTTGAATCCAGGTAGCTCTTTGTCATCCGGCCTTTGCCATGACAGGTGCGCTTGCATGGCAGGTCATACATAATAAAAAAATAGTATATTTTGGTTTCGAGGGGAGATCGCACGGGGATTGCCCGGGGTCTCTTCCCTCTCTGGTCTGTTTTCCTCTTGCTCTCTTTCTCTGCGTTCGTTTCTGCAACTTCAACCGACAGAAACTACTCCGTTCATAGCGTTTGGCCTGATCGTACTTCCGACATGCAAGGTACTCGACTTTACATTTGAGGTTCGTAAAAAATGGTAATTATTATTACATTTGAGCATTAAAACTACCATTACGAGGGAAGATTCGAAACAAGTTTTGTATAAATAGTAATGAAGCCTTTTTCGGGATTTTTTAATGACAGTTTTCGCAGTAGGAGGGATTTCACCAAACTACCATCACTTTATGCTAAGGTAAAGTAATGATTAGGTGGTAATAAATGGTATTTAAATTTTAAAATTGTTCATTCACTCTTGCCTGTCTTCACCTATTTATCGATTAACAATCGACGCGTATGTTCCATCTTCGGTTGGAATATGTAACATAACGGTTATTTTAAAATGCATTATTAGTCATTATTGGGGTAAGTTTGTTCTTCCGTATCGTTTTACTATTGATAGTTGGAACCGTTCTATCCTTTACCCTCTTATTAATTATTTTAATTGTTGGTCACATCGATCAACCTGTTCAAGGTATTACTATCAAGTCTGTATTGCTTTTGGGACTTCGAACTTTGTAATTCTTCAGTAGGTTCTGGGTTGTTTGGTTATTAGTAGATGGGGTCCAAATTGATGTGTATGGCGTTCCTAGAAGTTCGATGCATCAGCTGCAATTGTGGTATCTCTCCAAGACGAGGTGGGTTTGACAGTATCAAGATAGGCTTCAGCTCTGCTACAACATGAAGCCTGTTACGATCTTCTGGTATAATGAATTAAATATGCTGTTAAATTAAGTTCCATTTTGCCCATGTTTTTCAGTTGGATTCTTTGTCTTCGTCATATTCGTCCATTCATCCTTATAACTTAGTAAGTCTGAAGGTGTTGTGATACTACTGGTTGCGTCTCTTAAATTTTTACAGATGGTGTAATATGTCCCGTATATCATCTTTTTATAGTTTTTCTTTTCCATTTGATGTGTTGTAACTATGCCTGTGAAGTATTCCTTATTGGAGCCTCTTTGCGTGTTTGTTCGTGAATAAAGAAAACTATATAATCAATCATGTGGATTTATTTGGCCGCTCCATATACATTTATGGAAATGGGACGAGTGAATATTAATCAAGTTACTTTTACCTACCCTCGGTGAGTTTGTTGAAAACGCCTGGCTGTTTTAACTAGTCCTTGTATATTTTTTAGAATATCAAAACTTTACGTGGTACCTACTCCTTTCCTTGTAGGTTGATCGTGATTGAATATTCATTCTTGTCTTGGATTTCATAAGTAGCTGTTTGAAAATGTTCGGATAGAATTGTACGCCCGTATGGTTTATTTTCGCTGTTCCTCTGTGTAAGTTCTTTAAATATAGACTTATTATTATTATTTTTAGTAATCAGATAGTTCCGTCTTGAATGTTAATATACACCATTTTACTTTCAAGTGCATATTTCATAAAAGATGTTTTTTCTTAAAAGTCTTTTTTGTTTTCCAGATATTGCCGTATTGTCCACGAATTAGATTCATTCAATTTAAAAGGATTATCATTAGATTTTTTTGCGATAGTCGTGTGAACAAGTTCTAAAGTTCTCTTAGATCGTGTTAAAAATAATGTTTGCCGGTCTAGATTTTAGGTTTAGAAATCAGTAAATTGAACTTCTATTAATTTTGTTAATTTGGGAATCTGTACGAATTAGTAGTAAATTCTTTTTTTACTGTTCAATTATAATGAGAAGTAAGTTGAGTGTCATTTTGAAATTTGTTATATGTTGTGGCACATAGATCTGTAAGCTCAAACCGGTAGAGCGCTGCAAATTCTGCGAGGAATTTGAGAGGTTGATGGTTCGAATCCATCCGGATCTGAGGGAATAATACTGTTTCTGCATTATTAATTAGTATGAGAGTTGCTCGTTACGTACATTACGGATGAACAGTCGAACATGGTTCTTTTGGGCTCGAACCTGGGCCGATTTTCAACTTGGTCGAAAACTATGATATTGAATGAACCCAACAGTGGGGTGGTCCCCGAATCTACCAATTCTGTAACGAAGTTTTGTTCAGACTGTTCTGGTTCTCTCTAGAATTAGGTTCCTTTTCTTTTTCTTTTTTTAATTTTAAACTTTCTAGAATAATTCATGGGTTTATCCATTTTGTAATATTATCTTCTTTAAATTTTAAATTTGAATTCAATTATTTAAAATTTATCACTATATTTGGAATTAGAAATGTGACAAAATATACTTGACCGACCTTTAATGCCGTATAATATAAGCTATATCAATAGTCAAAAGTTGGAAAATTCATACCTTTTTATTTATTTATTTATTTATTTATTCCAAATGCCGTGTTCCGTTTGATCTTTCCTCCGTGAAGTCACGACGAAACCGCCCAAAACGCCAAAAGTAATTATCGCATTTATTCCATCCCATGAGCGATAATAATTCATCCACGTTATTCTATCTCAGCCGTCCACTTCTCCAACCAACTCCCTCATCGTCGCCGTCCATCTCGTTCCCTCTCTCCATAAAGGGTCAAGAAGTTCCCTGGCTGCCCTAATCCATATGAGGATTCTAGAAGGCTTCCTATTCCCTTCTCTTTTTTATTTTTCCATTTCTCGGTCGTAGATCTATCGTGTTCTTATTGTTCTCCGGTGCAGGAGGGCTAAGAATGGATCTTTCGACTTCTGAAGCCGTGTATTTGCTCGCTGATTATTGTTTCCAACGATTTTCGGTTGCGGATTATGGCTAATGATTCCGATTCTGGAAGGTATGACTTCAGATCTGGATTATTTTCTTTTTGCTCGTTCTTGGCTTGAAGACGGTGTTCGATCTGTTGTCTTGGTTTTAATTTTCGCCTACTCTTTTAGTTTATTATGTTTCAGATCTAGGTTTTAGTCTTCTTGTTGTGGATAATTTGTTTCGGAGGATAGCCTTCCGACTTCTCTGAGCAGGTATGAAGAACATGATGTCAGATTTAGGATCTGTACCGTACTGATTGCCTTGTGGAGCAGCTACTGCTTGTCTTCGCCGGTGCAGATGTTAGCAGTCGAATTAATAGGTGGTTCTTTGCTGCTGTTGGGGCGGTTCATAAGACTGCTGTATGAAGAGTGTACGCACCATTCGATGGAATCTGTACTTTGTATATATTTACCGAAATCGCTGGAAAGGAGTGGATGAGTGTGGCTCTTGGATGTAAAAGGAATCGGAGTTCATCTTCCTATTTGTGGAGGGTGAATCCTGATATGTCTTTGTCATCCGACCTTTGCCATGACAGGTGCGCTTGCATGGCAGGTCATCGATAAAAAAAATAAAAGTAGTGATGTTTTGGTTTTGAGGGAGAGACCGCACGGGGTTTGCCCGGGGTTTCTTCCTCTCTGGCTTGTGTTTTCCTCCCCTTCTCTCTTTCTATCAGTTCGTTTCTACATCTGCAACCGCCATCAACTGCGTCTCGGATCTCGCGCCGTTTAAGCCAAGGTATTCCTCTTGCACATAACTAGCATAAGAAGGAAAAGAGACTAACAAATCTGCATAACCTAATATACAAATCTACATCCAAATAGTTTTACTTTTCATGATGAATTTGTTAGCGAAGTTACAGTCTCGTATTTTTCAAACGGTCAGCTGGTTTTTTAAAATCAATCCTTGACATGTGGTCTCAATTATTTTTGTTAATTCATGGCAACAATGTCTCAATTATTTTTGTTAATTCATGGCAACAATTTCTGTTTTGTTTTTACTGTTTTTAACATTATTTTTATACACTAAAAGTTGATTTTAAGGTGGAATTTATTTGAGTGATTTGAGTATCATAGAAACCAATTTATTTGAGTGATTTGAATATCGTAGAAACCAATTTTTGAACACTTTCAAACTTTCTTCTCAATCCTGTCGGAAGTGTTTTTACTATCCATCTTGATCACTCCTATTAATCATAAGTATTCTCATTTTGATGAGTAGCATGATCCTCCTGGTGTGTTCGTTAACAAGCTTATTAAAGAGTTCTAGTATACATCACATATATTATTAACACTAATTAACAATAGTTGTTCGTTGTTCCTACTTGTTACTGTTCTTAAATGCGCCAATTCGCTACTAATTACATTGTTACATGATTCAATGTTTGTTCTCTTTGTCAATTTAATCATAGCCAGGCTTGCAATTTGCCATCTATTCTAATTTTTTATTTAATTTCAGCTTCCTTGTTTAACTCTTATGTTTTATTTCTCATTTATGCCATAATGTCCAATGTATGCTAAGAAAATTATTTACTTGTATTTTGCATTTGTGGACCTGATTGTTATATTTATCTGTATTTGCAAGCTTCTCGTTTATGGATGTATCTTACTCTGGTGGAGATCTTTAAGTTTCTCCAGTATTTTAGTTTGTGTATTGTGATTTATATTGGTAGTTTAGCTTTCCTATTAGTTAATTATTTGAACTGGAGAATTTGGTCTCTCATAGAACGATTTGCAAAGAATGATGCTGAATATTAAGGTACCTGGCAATGGATTGTGGATGACCTGATCGTGGTTGGAAATCTAATCTTGAAGAGACTACCAGAAGAGACTACCCAACACGGCCCCAACTTGTTTACAATGAATTCAAGGTTTAATCAACTGCTCAACTTTAATTTCTGAATTTGCCTTTCAGTTTTCGTATACAAGTTTTTGTTCTTCATTTTCAATAAGGTTCCCGAGTAAACTAGTGTTTCTTGAGATTTTTAATATCTTTGTAGCACTTGGTTCTGTAATACTTGTTAAGTATGGTTTAGTGCATCTAATTTTCATACATTCTGAAATCATAGAACAATGAAGTAGCTCTGGTTCTTTCTTTAGTCCTGTTTGTTCGGTTGTCTAATCTCGATCCTATTTCATGTTAGTTCTTTGTTAATTATATAAGCCTCCTTATCTCTGTCCTGTTTCATGTTTCATTTTAAAGATTTTGTTGCTATTTTACAGGTTTGGTGCATAGTGCTTGTACTCCAAGACAAGTGCCGAAGTTTGATTAGTCATATAGGTTCTAATATTGGGTACTTATTAATTATGGCTTCAAATAATTTATAATTATTTTAAATACTCTTCGTAAAGAAAATAATTAGTAGCAACCATGTGTTATCATGTGTAAGTAATTGTACGGAAGTATCATCGATATGATGAACTGTTTGCGTCCAACTGTTTACCTTTACTGTTAAATCTTCTTATTAGTGGGTTTGAATTCAAAATGTGTATGCATTGATCTGTAAGCTCAAAAATGGGAGAGCGCTCAATTTCCCTGATGGGTTTTGAGAGGGTGATGGTTCGAATCCATCCAGATCATTATCTACTTTTTTTTATTAATTTTTTTGTTTTTTTAATTATTAAAGGAAAAAAAAATCTAAATTTAACTAATAAAGATTTCTCATAAAAATTTGGTTGGTTTATTATCACTTTCATTCAGAGAAAAAAAAAGAAAAAAAATATATTTTGAAGTAAAAGAAAAAACCTTGCGTGATGGTGTTTTTTTGGGTTCCTTGCACAAAAACCAGCAAGTGGGCCCCACTGTTGAACCGGTATATAAACCCTCCAAACGCATGGTCTCTGCCTTTTTCTTCTCACTTCCGCTGGCGAAGAAATCGTGGCCTCCATTGATCTCTGGTGGCAGAACCACCGTTTCTTCATGTTCCCCTCTTCTCTCTCACCGTCTCTGCAACTCCTTCTTTTTCCGTAACAAGAACAACGCCCTTTGTCAGGAAGAAGGAGAATCAAAGCATTCAACCAATGGATTCTCTGGTTAGTATTTTGAATTTATTTACGGAAAAAATGCAGAAATATTTGATTCATGAGATTTCAATTTGAGAATTCCAATTCTTCACTTCTTTTCATCCCTCCTATTAATCTCACGAACGCGCAATGCTTTATGGATTCTTTAAACAGTAGCATCATGATTTTTTTTCATATCTAAAGCTCCAGATTCTAATATCAATCCTCATTCAAATACTCGCATTTTGTTATCAAAATCATTAAGAAATTACTGTTTGATCTTACAGTTAGGTTAGGCAATAAGATTTAAGAAAGAGTTTGATCATCATCAGGCTTGCAATTTGAGTAGTATGCACACATTCATTCACTATTTAATTATCCGCTGCCTAGTTTTCCAATGTTTCGATTCTTTTATATCCGATGATCTGATATCAACATTTCTGAATTGTGGAACTGTGAATGAAAGTATTCATCTGTATTTTCAAGCTGCTAGGCTAGTTTATGGCGATGCATAGTTCTTTTACTGAAAGATTTTCAAGTTTTTCCAGTATTGTAATTTCTTAATTGTGAATTCCAAGCTATTTGGCGATGGATATTGGACGTTGATCATGGCCGGAAATGGAATCTGAAAGACCTCACAACTCATTCTAATCTGTCTATGATGAATTCAAGGTTTGAAGTACTCCTCAACTGAATTTACAGCATTTCTCTTGCGATCTTCATAGAAACGTAATTATGCAACTGTGTGGTACTAGCTCTATTTGGTAGGGATGCATGCCTTAGTGCTTCGATTCTTCTTACAGATTGAATCCATAGAATGTCGGACTACTTAGTTTCACCATGATCCGTTCTTTGTTATTACCAAAATTGTTTGTTTATGGTCATCTGATCTTGTTCCATCAAAGTTTCAGGCAAGATCTACCCATATACTTCAAAATTATTATGTCTTTGGAAGATCTGAATAGAAACGAGTGTCAGCGAGGATATTGGGCTTGGAAGGAGAATAAATTGTGAGATCCGATATGGAGAGGAGGGGAGAGGGGAACGAGTGCTAGCAAGGACTCTGGGCTCCGTCGGGGAGTGGATTGTGAAATTCCACATCAGTTGGAGAGAATAACGACATCGGAGAGGGAACGAGTGCCGGCGAAGATGTTGGGATTCGAAGGGAAGTGGATTGTGAAATCCCATATTGATTGGAGAGGATAACGAAATCGATTGGAGAGGGAAATAAGTATCAACGAGGACGCTGAGTCCAGGGTAGAGTGTGAGATCATACATCTGTTTGATAAGAGAACAAAACATTTTTTTTTTTGTAAGGGTGTGAAAATTTATCTCTAGCAAACATTTTTGTAAGGGTGTGAAAATTTAACATTATTGGTAGGAGTGTGAAAATTTCTCTCTAACCGAAACATTTAAAATATTAAAATCTCTTTCACTCTTACTGAACCATTTTTTATAAAAGTGTGAATATCTATTGATATATACGAACAGTGGGCAATGGAAGCCGTAAAGCCACGAAAGAAAAGACAAGATGAAGGAATAAGTGTCCATAAAACAATAATTAAAATTAAAATAAAAATAATTTGTACGTAAGCCCATTATAAAAGAATCTTTTATTACACGTGGATTATTCCAAGAATTCGAATAAAATTATATAACCCCTAGAAAATGTGCCATGTCAACCGTAGAAAAAGTCTTCCGATTCAAAAGCATCTTTTTAGCGGTCAATTATTTAATGCCGTCCCTTCCACTCGTTCTTTTCACATTCTTCAAGAAATAGATTATTATTATTATTTATTATTAAAATTTATTTAATTATATGCTTTTTTTTTTAAAATTTATTTTGACTGGTCGTGGTCTACAAGAGCGAGCCAAAAGAGAGGAGCATTTCTTTTTCTTCTTTTATTTCTTAAATATTCCTTCCGTTGATCCATTTTTATGAAACTAATAATTAACTTTAATTTTTTTTGTTAGCAATTTACACTCTAAATTAAATTAGTATATAACAATTTAATTTTAATAAATTGATCATTTGCAACAATTTAATTCATATCATAAAAATTATTATTAATAATTGTCCACATTCGACCAAGATTTAGCTTCCATTTGTTTTAATATCAAAACTAATATTACGTATGTATTTGTATATTTTAGCTCAGTAATTTTAGAAGTATTTTTAATATTCAATATTTTAGTTTATATTTGTAAAAATGCCGTAAATTATCACACTGATCCTAGGTCAGAACAAGTTGATAGGATCCTCCTTTTTACGTCCCCATGTCCCTCCCGTGTGGCGACATGGGGGCGAAAAAAGGAAAGAGAGGGACGGGGTTTCTCTCGCTTTTGGCATAGCAGGAGGCTCGTACGACGGGTTATTAGCTCAATGGTAGAGCGCGTCCCTGATAATTATGTCGTTGTGCCTGGGCTGTGAGGGCTCTCAGCCACATGGATAGTTCAATGTGCTCGTGTTCCCTTGATAATGATTATCTTCTCCTTCCATTCATTTTTTTCCGATACTATTTTAAAAAGTAGCCTTAGATTGAATAATTAAGAAGTAAGAAACATTATCTCCATTGATACAAGGTGTTTTGGAAAAACTAAAAAGTAAAATCACGAAAAATTTATGATTTCTAACAAATTTATTACAAATTTAAACGTTGAAAAAGTGTGATACAAATTTTTAAGTTAGAACGCAAGCATGTTAGACTGATCAGTGAAGTTAAAATTGGTATTAGGTAAACAAAGTAAAAATTTGTGGGAGTTAATTTCACCCAATTAATCGACGAGGAAAAAGAAGACATTTTACCGTCGTGTAGTTCAGTAAAAAAAAAAAATATATATATATATATATATATATAAGATAATAAAAATTATTTTGGGTAAAAAAGAGGAAAAGAAAAGAAAACCCAACAGAAGTCTTAGGGTGATGGTGATTTTGGGTTCTAACAACTAGCTAGTGGACCCCACTTTAAAACTCCTATATAAACCTCCAAACGCCAACTGCACATCTTCTTCTCCGCACTTTCGCTGACGAGGAAATCGTGGCCTCCATTGATCTCTGGTGGCACAGCTACGGTTTCTTCACGTGTAGCTTCTCTCTCACCGTCTCTGCAACGCGTTCTTTTTCCGTAACAAGAACAACGACCTTATACCACTTTTGTAAGGAAGAAGAATCAAAGCATTCAACCAATGGATTCGATTTATTAGTATTTTAATTGATCTTTGTTTTTGCTGAAGGAGTTTCCGCTTCTGGTTTCTTAGCCCTCTTCTTGCTTCAGGTGCGTTTTCTGTAAATTCTCTCCTACTATTCTGTTGTGGTTTTGGAATCTTGCGATTTCTTCTTTCCACTCTACTTGTGCGTGTGTTTTGGAGTAGATCTGATTGTTCCGAGTTTTGCGTGGATGGTTATTGTTTTATCGGTTTTGACTCTCGATCACTTTAGCTTGTCCTGGATTGGATTCTCTAATTACTGTCTTTTTCTGGACTTTTCCGGTTTTATTGGTTTGTTTGTTTTTCAATCCCCTGTTACGGTCAACGGAGTCGATTTGGTTGTTTGGATTTCGGACATTTGTGTAAGATTCTGTTTCTGTGATTCTAGATTCGTATCCGATGGAGTTGAAGGATTAGGATCGATCTCGTTGATTATGTTCTTCAGATGGTTAAATTTTCATTTAGTATTGCTTGATTCAAATACGGAATGCCTATCGATTTATCTATACATACCGGTAGTTAATTTTGCGGTCTTGCAGTATGTTGTTGTTTAGGATACCATTCCCTCCATTTATGGATTGGATTATCTGTTGTCTGTTGCCTGTTGCCTGTTCTGAGTCCTGAACAGACTGGCATAAAACTGTGCGCCTTAAAATTGGATTAAGAGATCTTGAAGATACAAACAGCGGCCGATATTGCTACCGATTAGGAATTTTAGGGAAAACAGTCGTGGAAGCCTTCACAATGTAGATTCAAAAAGCCGCAGGCTCCAAATGATTTTCCTGTAACTTCTCACCATTTTTATCTTTTTTCAATTGTATTGCTACAATTGTTTGGGGAAAACCTTTGTTTTCTTTTGTAATTTGAAGTATAGAAATACGTTTTGTTTAACTTCCCCTCATATAGTATAGAGTTAACATTTATTTGAATTTGTTTACAGAAAAAATGGAAAAGTATTCGAGTCATGGGCTTTTAATTTGACAATGTCCAATCCTTCACGTTTTATTTTTGTCCCTATTAATATTACTAATGAAGAATGCTTTAAGGACTCTTTAAATAGTAGCATCATGGTTTTATTTAATCTTTTCTGATCATTATGGGTAATGGTGTTCTTAATATCTAAAGCTCCAGATTCTGATATCAATCCTCACTCAAATAGCCACAGAATTTTAAATAATGGCTTTATTTGTAGGTTTTTCTTGCTGCACATTGTTCTCCATTGCTGATTGATATGTTTCGTTCAAAGAAGCATTCTCAAAGTCATAATCACCATAATAATGATTCTACACAAGAAGACGGGAAGGTAACAATCCAGTTAATTCTTATCAACAATAGCTTTCATGTTGTTAGATTGAATGGTTGGATAAATATCATACAATGATTGTTTTTTATCCTTTCTCGCATCTCTGGAAACTTATCTAAATATATTGAAGCCAAAGTGTAGATTGGGTGTTAATATTTTCAGGGGAAATTAAAGTTCTGAAGTCTTGGGGTCAGGTAAATTAGTATCCTTGCGTTGAAATATCATTTCCCATCTCAAATTTAATTTTCTTAACATCTTTATAGCTCGCTGCTGTAACCTTCATAGCTCCTGACCAGATTCCACCGTCCCCATCCAAACTAACATTTTTCATGAATTATAGATAATTATGTACTTTTATCAATTTTATCCTTCATGTCCGTTCTTCTTATTGCGAGTTAACGCATCAAGTTTTCAGATATAAGAGCTGTTTTCATTCGCACAAGTTTGTGCAGTTCTTGACTCAGATACTATAAGTCGAAAAGAACTTTAAGAACAGGATTAGAAATATATGAATACTTAAGGGTGAAATAATTTAATTATGTTTTATGAAGAACGGCGTAACTAACTATTTTTCCCGTACAGATCAATGAACTTAGGGCTGCTCTTGGGCCTCTGTCTAGTCGAAGTTCAAAGTATTGCACCGATGCATGTCTGAGGAGATATTTGATAGCTCGAAACTGGAATGTTGAGAAGGCAAGGAAAATGCTAGAAGAGACGCTCAAGTGGAGGGCAGCTTACAAGCCCGAAGAAATCCGTTGGGTAAGCTAAATTATACAACTTTGTATCCCTCAAACATCTAACAAAAATTTTAGTTTTCTAAATTTTATTCTTTGCACTTTGCTTCCCCACGACCTTGCTATGAATGTAATGGATTTTTTTTTTTTCCTCTTTTAGTTCATTTTTATTGTCATATTTTTCTCTATGAAATTTACTCGTACGTTGCATTCCATGGAATCAAGGTTTTTTAAGAAGCATTTTTCTGATACAGCATGAAGTAGCATTTGAAGGCGAGACTGGAAAAGTGTCGAGAGCAGATTTTTGCGATCGACAGGGAAGATCTGTGCTCATAATGAGACCTGGAATGCAGGTATATTTGCTGGTCCCCACTTTTCCTTATAGTTTTTAATGTCATCATGAACTCTTATTTTCTCATAATAACTACTATTCAAAATTCTTTTTTTTTTTTTAAATAAAACAAACCATGTTAAATCACAATATGTTTAATTTTTTAACATACCAATAAAAAAATCGTGTATAAAAGTTCGAAAAAAAAAAACTCTAAGGTACTTTTTGAACTTAAATATAATTCAACTAGTTGAAATATTTATAGCCATATTTAAATCTTTTTCTTCCGTGATAAACTGAAAAAAGAATAAAAAGAGACACTTGAATTAAAAAAATAAAGTATAGAAGTGATCCAATTTGTTAGATGAACACGACTCTCGATAGTAATATAATTTTGTCTATTTTGAGCATAAGGCTCTCCTAACTTTGTTTGAATATAATTTAAAATAGTATTATTTGAATATAAACTCATTATCCTTCCCTAGATTAACCTTAGGACTTTCATTCAACACAATTGATATTTATAAGTGCTGATCTTTTTGTTTTGTTTTGTTTTTGTTTTTTTTTGGCATTTCACTTTCTGACTATTTCCAGTACCCACTTTTAAATTCTTTCAGAACACAACTCCATCAGAAGTCAGCGTGCGGCATCTAGTCTATCTTCTAGAGAATGCGATTCTGAACCTTGTTGAGGGTCAAGAACAAATGTGTTGGTTAATAGATTTCACCGGATTTACAATGAAAACCAATGTCTCCGTCAAAATAGCCTCCGATGTTATCAATATCTTGCAGAACCATTACCCGGAAAGACTTGCCGTTGCATTCCTCTACAATCCACCCAAGATTTTTCAAGCCTTCTGGAAGGTATGCTCTGCTCTTTAATTCCATTCACTTATCTATCACATTTCTTCTCCAAATTCATCAATATTAGCCATCCTTTTCCAATTTTTTATAGGCTATCAAGTACTTCTTAGATCCAAAGACATCTCAAAAGGTAAAGTTTGTAAATCCCAAAGACAAAGGAAGCGTGGAGCTGATGAAATCATACTTCGACATGGAAAACCTTCCCAGTGTGTTTGGGGGTAAAGCCACACTCGAGTATGATCACCAGCAGTTCTCTCAGATGATGGCCCAAGACGAGCTTAAAGCTGCACTAGTGTGGGGCCTTGATGAGAAGGCCCACCATATCACAAATGGGCCTTCTTCTGGCCCAGAAGTTGCACCAGAGCCCATTACTGCAACAAACTAACTAACTGGTATGTCTCCTGCCTCCCCTTTACAGCATTTTGAAACTAAAATAATAATGCAAAGGAGCTAGTAGCCATCCATAAGTAATAGTTTCTGTTTCTGCTAACTAAACCTATGAGACTGAAGGAACCTTTTGTAGTTTTATGTTAACTTAGGAGGTCAACAAAGCCCAATAATTTAGCAGCCCTCTCTTTAAAAGAAAAAAGAAACTCGTAACTTGTTTACTTGTTCCATCTATTTATTTATAATACATTATAGAGAGAGGAACCGTATCTTTAATGTTTTAGGTGCATTGCATTACAAACCCACTTGGTATAATGAATTTAGGTATATCCAAGTGTCAGATTCCACCTTCCAACTTAGGATTGTCCAAAAATTAATAAGAAAATGCCCAATAACCGTCGCTATTGTTAGACGAACACAACTCTCCACAATGGTATGATATTGTCCACTTTGAGCATAAGCTCTCATGGTTTTGCTTTGGGCTTCCCCAAAAGGCCTCATGCCAATGGAGTTAGTATTCCTCACTTATAAACCCATGATCACACCCTAAATTAGTCGATGTGGGACTTCCATCATCCAACACCTCCCCTCGAACAAAGTGCGCCTCCCCTTAATCGAGGCTCGACTCCTTTGGAGTCTTAGTCATTTTTTGACTGCCTTCGAGGAGGGGCTTAGCTCCTTTTCTTTAAGAGTTCTTTGTTCGATATTTGAAGATTTACCAATCTATTGGCACGACTAAGTTTAGGGCATGGCTCTGATACCATGTTAGACGAACACAACTCTCCACAATGGTATGATATTGTCCACTTTGAGCATAAGCTCTCATGGTTTTGCTTTGGGCTTCCCCAAAAGGCCTCATGCCAATGGAGTTAGTATTCCTCACTTATAAACCCATGATCACACCCTAAATTAGTCGATGTGGAACTTCCATCATCCAACAGCTATTACAAAAAGAACTAGCAGAAAAAGTAACGTCATAACCTAATATTGGCTTTTGAAAATCCAAGCAACCCAAGTGGATGAAAGTGTTTAACCTTCCATTTAAAAAAGAAATTTGCAATTATTATATTTATCTATTATTTGAATTTTTAGTACACTTGGAATAAGTTAGAATTTTGTTCATTTTATTTTTTATTTTTTCATATACAAATTAATTTTATAAAAAAAGAAGTCTTGGTTCCATGTTTAAATTGCAGATAAATACTTCACGTTATTCTTTGTTTTTATATATTAAACATATATTTAATTGTTTAGACAAAAATTAATGATACTATTAAATAAAATTTAATATTGTTTCAAGTTAAATTTAAAAAAAAAAATAGATATATTAATTTGGAAAAAAATGTTGAATAAATTGACGACTTAATAAAAATAAAATAAAATTTTACTACGGAATATTTATTTTTAAAAATTTAAAAATATCGATTATTTAAGCATATAAAACATTTTAAAATTTAGTCTAGTTAAACATAACAATCTATAATACTTTTTAAAATTTAAACCTATTAGACATAATATATAGACCCAAATCTCTCTTTAACTGTATCCAGCGAAAAGAAGCAAGTAATAATTGAGTACTTAAACTAGATAATTAGTTTTATTTTTCCCTATAAAATGTATTTGACGAGCAAATGAAACCTAATAAGATACTTTGACTAGTTATCTTGTAGGTTATGGTATGAATATCAATTGCTCAAAATAGTTGATAACACAGTCATATACCAAAACTCATTATTTTCCTATTTCTATCTTAAAAATATCATCCCCTTAGCTTAGAATAATATCCTCAAACATATCACTCACTCAAAAGTCTTTTAAAAAGATTAAAATTATTAAATAAATTGAAGTTGGTTAAACCAGAAATAAATAAACTCACATAGCAAGCGAGATTTCCATCACCCACTTTAAGTTATACAAACTCAACCTGCAAATTCAAAATTGTTATCAAGTGATGTGCACATAAAAAGAAATCTCCAATTTTTAAAAATTAGAAACAAATTCTTTTTTATAGTATAAGTATTGAATATTCCGACTCAAAGAATAACCCGGCAACCAGAAATAACACTATTCTCATAATAGACGGAGAAATAGCAAATAAATTTAGAAGAATCTAAACACATCCACTTCCCCATTTCATGTAAAGCTGGTTGGTTTGAATCAAAATTGAAGTACCCAATAGTGTGTTGAACTTCATTTTTCTTTTCAGCCAATTAAGAATTTCATTACACGGAGAATTAAAAAAAAAAATGATATCTATATAATAGATATAAAAATGGATATATCCATATATATATGGATATAGATGGATATATTTATAACTGAAATCATTTTTTATATATGGATATTTATATATAGATATATAGATACCTATATAATAGATATAAAAAAAAAATTAGGAGCATAATTGAAATAACTGAAATCATTTTTTATATATGTATTTATATATAGATATATAGATACCTATATAATAGATATAAAAAAAAAAATTAGGAGCATAATTGAAATAACTGAAATCATTTTTTATATATGGATATTTATATATAGATCTATAGATATCTCTATATATTATATAGATATCTATATCATAGATATATATCGATATAGAGATCTATATGATAAATGTATAGAGATCTATATATCTAGATAGATATATAGATGCTACACAGATCTATGTATCTATATGTATCTATATTTCTATATTTTTATATTTACTGAACAATTTTGAAATTGAAAAGTAAGGGTAGAACTTTAAGTCTGAGATTTTAAGGGGTAGTTTATATACTTTAACCTCTATTTTGTAACGTTAGGGAACTACCTTTTTTCTTATCCATCTGTACGATGATATTTGATTTATTCAGAACTCACTGGAATCCAGGCATTCATCTACAAGCTGACGCAGATTTGGATTCTCCAAAGCAGCTGCAACTCTTTCTTTGTCATTTAGCTGCTTATTAACTGTTCTTTCACCGCCAAAAACAAAGAACAAAACAGAACAAATTTAAAGATCAAAAAACACAATGCACGAGTTTGTCAGCGGTAATTTACCAAACTGAACGAACCTAATTTACCAAACTGAACTAACTCAAATAGAGTGAATTCAGTTCCGTTATGCACAATTATTTGATTATAATAGAATAGAACCAAATTAATGGTGATTCAACCAATGTCGAAATTTATACCCTTCATTAGAAATATTCGTTATCAAATATTTAAGGTTCTAACAAGTTCAATCTTTGATTTCATGATCTTTTCTCCAATGGGTATCTAGATCTAATAACACCTTAGAATGTTTTAATCTCACCTGACTCTTCATTTGCGTGGGATCCTGAAGACACTTTGATGTCAACCTGCAAATTCTATAATAAGCAAACATAGTGGACGATCTAAACTCGAGCTAGATTCAAATTGTTCAAGTTGATTTCATGATTATATCAGATCGGCTAATAAGATAATAAAGCAATTCAGCCTTTTGCCATCATATATATTCAAACATGAAATTAAATGAACATTGAACAAAAGTCTTGTACAGGGATTTATTTGAATTGAATAGATGATTGTCTCTTGTTATTACAACAAAATTCACAAATAAGTCCTATAAATTCTAGTTCTCTGCACAAACTAAACTACAGAGGTTGTCTTTTTAATGTGTATACGTGTTTTTTTTTTTTTTTTTGAAATTGAGATGATAAATTTAAAATAAAAGAGAAAAAAACCTTTTCTATTTTTCGTTTTTCTTATATTGTCAAAATTATTGTTAATAAAAAATAATTAAATATTTTAGGTATAACTTAACATGAAAAGCAAGATCGAGATACCTTTCCAAATAATTTTTAAAAGTAAAAACAATAAATACAAAAATTAAAACAGGACTGTGGGATTTTTTAAAAAAATTTAAATTGTTTTCAAAATTGTTTATTAAAAAAAAAAAAAAAAAAAAANAAAAACTCAAGCGTAAGTTTTTTTTTTTTTTTAAATTCTGCTCTTTATGTGCTTTTCATCAATAATTTAGTTTCTTGAATAATAAGTTCTTCCACAGTTTCGTTAAACGGCTACCTAATATGCATAATCCATCAAGTTTATCAAACAGGCACCAAAAGAACAAATCTAAAAGTTGCATCCAAACGGTACTGGCAAGTGAGATGGAACACAAGCGCACTATCATCATGATCATTTATTTCAAAAGCCAACAAACTTCTTCAAACTTGAATTCATATCCATACATAAAACACAAATTTCATCAGTATCTGGTGATTGCATCAAGTAGAGTGTAGAACTGAAAATGAAGAAGCAGTAATCCAAAGTTCAAGCCTATTGTTAAGAAAGGAAAGTGATCTGACCTTGTAATGTGGGGGGAAGAAGTGTTTAAGTTTCACTCTCAGACAGAGGCCAATCACAGTCGCCATACTACAATGCTGGATAGTCGGAGTGAAAGTAATCCTGTGAGATAAACATTAATTCAGCAAACGATTTAGGAATTTGAAGCTGAAGGCATTTCAATCAAACTTCCCTAGACTAGGAGTCTTTTGCAATGAGTTTGTTAAATCAATATGACTAGAAATCAATAATCTCAAATTGCCTCTCAAAATCAAAGAGGCGGAGAAGTAATGGAGCTATTTCGGTTCTGCTTACAGGATACGCCCTAGCTTCTCATCAACGGTGATCGATTCCTCTGAAAGAACACTAAGCTGCTCTAACGAATACGGATGCTCCGGATCTCTAATATCCCTCACGAAATGTGCCAAAATTCGAGTCAAGGACAAGAAATTTGCAAATTGACTATCAAATAACAGATTCCAAAAGAAACGAGAAAACTGAATTTTCACAAAATCAGCCAAAAAATCACTCGTTCGGCCACAAAGAAAGCGCCAGAAAATTTAAAAACAAAAAACAAAAAAAGAATCCTCTAAAAATAGACTAAAACAACACCTAATAACTTCCTAATCAGAATTGAGCTCGAGAATCACAGTGAAAATAGACCTGAAGAGAAAACGAAAGGAGAACTCAAAATTCGTCAAAACACGATCAATTAAGAAAAGGATATCATAGA